GCCACCGCACCTGGCCACTTGCTGTTTGTTTTCGCTGTGCAAATCCTATGTTTGCTATTACTGTTTATTCCTATTTTAGTTTATTTTTAATTTTATTTATTTATTTATTTATTTTTTGAGACAGAGTCTCACTCTGTCACCCAGATTGGAGTGCAATGGTGTGATCTCAGCTCACTGAACCCCCCGGGTTCAAACCATTCTCTTGCCTCAGCTTCCTGAGTAGCTGGGATTACAGGCACGCACCACCATGCCTGGCTAAGTTTTGTATTTTTAGTAGAGACAGGCTTTCACCATGTTGGCCAGGCTGGTCTCGAACTCCTGACCTCAGGTGATCTGCCCGCCTTGGCCTCCCAAAGTGCTGGGATTACAGGTGTAAGCCACCGTGTCCGGCCTTATTCCTATTTCAAATAATTTTGCAGACAAACCTTCATCAAGTTTGTAATGACCAACTTTTTACTCTCAAGTTCAGAATAATTGAATTATACACACTGGGAAATACATAAGAACCAACAGGGAAAAAATGTTAGTAAGAAAATCAAGGCTACATCCCTATCTTGAGCATATTTCTAGGTTTTCCTAAAGATTGAAATATGCCCTCGTATTAGATTAAAAGACTCTATGCAAAACAGGCACTTTTTAGTTGTATAATTTGGGAGAAGTCATTTAACCCTTCAATTTCTGTACCTGTAAAATGGATAGCAATAACGAGATGATGTACATAAAGTGATGAAGCATATGATTAACCCTTAGTAAATTTTATAGATAGTGATAAAGCAAGACCCCATCTCTACAGAAAATTAAAAAATTAGCCGGGCACTGTGCATGCACCTGTAGTCCCACCTACTCAGGAGGCTGAAGCAGGAAGATCCCTTGAGCCCAGGAGTTCAAGGTTGTAGTGATCTATGATAAGCTCCTGGACTCCAGCCTGAGCAGCAGAACAAGACACTATCTCAGATAGCTAGGTAGATAGGTAGGTAGGTAGGTAGAGAGATAGATAGATACATACATACATACATACATACATAATTCCATGGATCCATCTCTGTGTATGGCTGTAGGTTCTAGTGTCTAGATTAGAGTGGGGCTCCTTTAAAGATCTCAGTTGAGGATCTGGTGTTTAAATACTTCTTTTTTTTTTTTTTTTTTTTTTTGAGACGGAGTTTCGCTCTTGTTGCCCAGGCTGGAGTGCAATGGCGCAATATCGGCTCACCGTAACCTCCACCTCCCAGGTTCAAGCGATTCTCTTGCCTCAGCCTCCCAAGTAGCTGGGATTACAGGCATGTGCCACCATGCCCAGTTAATTTTGTATTTCTAGTAGAGACGGTGTTTCTCTATGTTGGTCAGGCTGGTCTCAAACTTCTGACCTTGGGTGATCCATCCACCTCTGCCTCCCAAAAGTTCTGGGATTACAGATGTGAGCCACTGCGCCTGGCCTTAAATACTTCTTAAAATGAAAATTTTGTTTCTATTAGAGAATTGGCCTTCTCTTCTGAAATTTTACTTAGTTACATGTTGTTTGTGGTAACAGTAACCAAAGAATAAAAACAAAGGATTATACTGAATTACTTCCTGCACTGTTGCTTAGTAATTGATAACAGAAGTAGATTGTGAAACAAGATCACTGCAGAACACTTAACTGACTTCCAGTAAATATCCTTTGGATCAGAATCTCCAGGGACCTCAACTTGGCTCGCTTTTTTTTTTTTTTTTTTTTTTTTTTGAGACGAAGTCTCTTTCTGTTGCCCAGGCTGGAGTTCGAGTTCAGTAGTGCAATCTCGGCTCATTGCAACCTCCGCCTCCTGGGTTCAAGCGATTCTCCTGACTCAGCCTCCTAAGTAACTGGGACTACCGGCGTGTGCCACCACGCTCAGCTAATTTTTTGTATGTTTAGTAGAGATGGGGTTTCACCGTGTTAGCCAGGATGGCCTCAATCTCCCGACCTTGTGATCTGCCCGCCTCGGCCTCCCAAAGTTTGTTTTTTTTGTTTTGTTTTGTTTTATTTTGAGATGGAGTCTTGCTCTGTCACTCAGGCTGGAGTGCAGTGGTGTGATCTTGGCTCACTGCACCCTCCACCTCCCAGGTTCAAGTGATTCTACCACCTCAGCCTCGCAAGTAGCTGGGACTACAGGTGTGCACCACCATGCCTGGCTAATTTTCGTATTTTTAGTAGAGACAGGGTTTCACTATGTTGGCCAGGGTGGTCTTGAACTCCTGACCTTGTGATCCGCCCACCTCAGCCTCCCAAAGTGCTGGGATTAAGGGCGTGAGTCACCGTGTCTGGCATGCCTCTTTCGTAACCACATTTCAGCTCTCTCAGTCCTCTCAAAGCCCCCCTTATTACTTATTTCTTGTATATAATAGTTGCTTACTATTGGGCCTGAATGGAATTTGTTCCAATACAGTCTTTCTTTTCAAGGGAGCCATGTGTGTCTTTGTGGACCCAAGTGCTATTGATTCATTCAGTGAATATTTTTGGAAAGCTATGTACTAGGCATTCTTCCATGAACTTGGGGCACATGAGTGAACAAAACAGACAAAATTCCAGAAGGACCACTATATTGCACGTCTCTGTGCCCTACCTCATAACTCAAATTCTGTAGGACTCCTTAGAGCTGTATTGTTCTGTATCGTAACAACTAGCTTCATGTTTAAATTAATTAGAAGTAAATTAAAAAAAAAATTCCTCAGTTACACTAGTCATATTTCAAGTACTCAGTAGTCACTACGGCTAGCAGCTACTGTGTTGGACAGAGCAGATATAGAACATTTCCATCATCGCAGAAAGTTCTACTGGACAGTGCTGCCTTACAGGTTGCCAGTGGGATTAGTCCTACCCACCGCTCCATCCAGTTGCTCACGGTTAATACCAATGCAATTGACTGGTTAATGGACCTTTGTACTATTTTAATCTAATTTCCTACTTTACCTTCCCTAGACCCCCCAATCCCTGTGCCCAGAGTTCACACCCCAAGATTAATTACTTGCAAGCTCTTATCCTGGACCCTGCTTTCTAGGGAGAATCCAGCTTAGACAAGCACTCCTAGTAGCCTGTCAATTTTATGAACAACCATTGATTTATAAAGGTTTTTTTAAGAAGTAAGAAACAGGCCAGGCATGGTGGCTGAGGCCTGTGATCCCAGCACTTTGGGAGGCCAAGGCAGGCAGATCACAAGGTCAGGAGATCAAGACCATCCTGGCTAACACAGTGAAACCCCGTCTCTACTAAAAATACAAAAACAAAAAAAAATTAGCTGGGCGTGGTGACGGGCGGCTGTAGTCCCACCTACTCGGAGGCCGAGGTGGGAGAATGACGTGAACCCGGGAGGTGGAGCTTTCAGTGAGCCAAAATTGTGTCACTGCACTCCAGCCTGGGCGACAGAGTAAGACTCCATTTCAAAAAAAAAAGAGAGGTAAGAAACATTGTCACATTAAATATACATGTCAGTTGTAAGAAGCATTAAATTTCAGAAATGTTGGAACACAGGAATAAAATTATTTTGTAGTCTAAATATCCTGGCCCATGACTTCTTTAAATGTTTATTTAACGCCATGTCCTTTGCTAAACAAAACAACCCCCTGGTTTTGGGTGGTTATTTTTATATACTCTAATTAGTGATTTTGGTTTTGTTTTGTTTTGTTTTTGAGACGGAGTTTTGCTCTTGTTGCCCAGGCTGGAATGCAATGGCGCGATCTCGGCTTACCGCAACCTCTGCCTCCTGGGTTCAAGCGATTCTCCTGCCTCAGCCTCCCGAGTAGCTGGGATTATAGGTACGCGCCACCACCACGCCTGGCTAATTTTGTATTTTCAGTAGAGATGGGATTTCTCCATGTTGGTCAGGCTTGTCTCGAACTCCCGACCTCAGGTGATCCGCCCACCTCGGCGTCCCAAAGTGCTGGGATTACAGGCGTAAGCCACTGTGCTGTGCGTGGCCGATTTTTGGGTTTTAAGTGATGAATACTGAGTGTCAGTTTAGGAAAACAGTAGGTGGCCATGGGGTTAGTTTAGGTTTGATACTTTATGCTGTGACTCTGGTTATGCTCAACTATGTGACTCCCCTTAACCTGAGTCCACCTATAAGTACTTCTGAAAGCCTAGCTTTGCACTGTGCTTGTTATGTCAAACTGATGAGGAGGATAGGGGAATGGGAAAACACAAAATATGCTGCTTTTTAATTTATCAGTTGTAATGATGCTTCTATGTATCCCAAGAAATCATTCTTAAGTGTTCTTATTACCGTGGGTCTCAGGGTACACCATAGAGGCCAGTGTAGAGCCTCTGACTCCCAGTCTATGTATGACTTATAGAAAGATACTTTTTTTCAATCTGCTTAGCTAGTAGATCAGTAAAACCCTTCGCCTGCACTCTCTGTTGACACCCAGCCAGGAGGGAGGAGGATATGCTGGGTCCAACTAGTAATTGTAAATGAAGCAGGATGATGAATCACAGGACTTTGAGCTGTTCAAATTTAATTCCCATTATGTATTTTCTTGAAACTGGAGCATTAATGAGGGATTACTGACAATGGAAAATGAATATAAATAAAGTTAAGGCCTTCATATATATTTCATTCATGCTTGAGTCATACCTGGTACTCATAAATCAATCCAGGATTATGAGGGTAGATGTTGACTTCAGTCTGGTTAAAATGAAGTACAGCATGAGCATTGGGTAGACATGAAGCAGATGTGGACTTTTTCTTTTTCTTTTTTTTTTTTTTTGAGACAGAGTCTCGCTCTGCCGCCCAGGCTGGAGTACAGTGGCCGGATCTCAGCTCACTGCAAGCTCCGCCTCCCGGGTTTACGCCATTCTCCTGCCTCAGCCTCCTGAGTAGCTGGGCTACAGGCGCCCGCCACTTCGCCCAGCTAGTTTTTTTTGTTTTTGTTTTTGTTTTTGTATTTTTAGTAGAGACAGGGTTTCACCGTGTTAGCCAGGATGGTCTTGATCTCCTGACCTCGTGATCCACCCGTCTCGGCCTCCCAAAGTGCTGGGATTACAGGCTTGAGCCACCGCGCCCGGCCAAGATGTGGACTTTTTCAAGTCGTAAGTTTATCAAGAGAGAAGAGAGTCAAGGACAGATGCCTGGGGGAGGCCTACATTGATTCAGCAGGAGAGTTCCCTATCTTAGCAGCAAAGGAAGGAGACAGTTTCTAGGAGGAGTATGTTTGAATTATTGATTATTTCTTCCAATCTAACTTCAGTGTTACTGTAGGTTATCTAAAGTTGATTATGTCTACTATATACTGCAGGGATTATTATTAAGCAAATAATGATAGACTTGCTTATCCTGTTGTAATTTTAGTTCCTTGGGGGAGAGGAAGAAGCTGCTTAGTTATATCCAGCGACTGGGTCAAATCCACGTTGATACAATGAAGGTAAGAGGATCTGAGTTTGTTATGTTTTTTGAATGTAAAGTGATATAACTCAATTATGTAAAATTCATTTTGAAGAGAATAGGAGGAAATCTGCTTCTCAGTGATGGAAGTGCGAGTAGTAGATCCTTTCTTTTTTTTTTTTTTTTTTGAGATGGAGTCTCACTCTGTTGCCCATTCTGGAGTGCAGTGGCGCAATCTCGGCTCACTGCAAGCTCCGCCTCCCAGGTTCACGCCATTCTCCTGCCTCAGCCTCCCGAGTAGCTGGGACTACAAGCTCCCGCCATCATGCCTGGCTAATTTTTTGTATTTTTAGTAGAGACGGGGTTTCACTGTGTTAGCCAGGATGGTCTCGATCTCCTGACCTTGTGATCCACCTGCCTTGGCCTCCCAAAGTTCTGGGATTACAGGCGTGAGCCACCGCGCCTGGCGAGTAGTGGATCTTTTCTAAACTTTCTGCACTTTCTAAAATGAGCATAGAGTATTTAAATCAGAAGAAGAACTAAAATATGTTAAGCATACAGAAAAGCATAAGTAGACCACTACCCAACTTGTCCAATCTTAATATTTTGCCTAATTTGCTTCAAGTCTGTTATTTTTAGAGAAAAATATTAGAAATTATTGAAGACCTCCTTTGTACATTCTTTTTTATTTTTATTTATTTATTTTTTTTAAATGAAATTGGGTCTTGCTCTGTCATCCAGGCTGGAGTACAGTGGCGCAATCTCAGCTCACTCCAACCTCTGTCTCCCTGGCTCAAGTGATCCTTCCATCTCAGCCACCCCAGTAGCTTGAACTATGGGTGCACGCCACCACACCTGGCTAATTTTTGTTTTTTTGTTTTTTTTTTTTTTTTGATACGGAGTCTGCTCTGTTGCCCAGGCTGGAGTGCAGTGGCACGATCTTATAGAGCAGGATCTGAAATAACTCAAATACATACTTTAATTTTGCTTTTGCAAGTTACATGTTGGCCAGGCTGACCTCAAACTCCTGACCTCAAGATCTGCCTGCCTCGGCCTTCCAAAGTGTTGGGATTACAGGCATGAGCCACAGTGCCCGGCCAATAATATATTTTTGAAGTAATATTTAAGGCAGTCAGTGGTTTCAATTGCCCACTTTTATTCTTTTTTCTATTTTTCTTTAAAAAGAAAAATAGTTTTTTTCTTTTTGTTGACCAGGCATGGTGGCTCACACAGTAATCCCAGCACTTTGGGAGGCTAAGGTGGGTGGATCACTTGAGCCCCTAAGTTCAAGACCAGCCTGGGCAACCTGGTGAAACTCCATCTACAAACAATAGAAAAATTAGCTGGGTGTGGTGGTGCACACCTGTATTCCCAGCTACTTGGGAGGCTGATTTAGGAAAATCACCTGAACCCACGGAGGTCGAGGCTTCAGTGAGCCATGATCACACCACTGTACTCCAGCCTGGGCAACAGAGTGAGACCCTGTCTCAAAAAAAAACAAAAACCACCAACATTGTTTAACCTCATTTATAAATTATAAATGATAGTTGTTGGAAATAGATTTTCAAACTACCGAATCACTGCCTAGTAATGAAATCAATACCTTAAATGAATTTAACTTCATCAGCAGTGCAGTTCAGCAAAGAATTCACCTAGTTTGCTACTCAGTTGCAGCCCTCGAGGATTTCTTCCCTAATTTGATACCTACCTAACTTGATACTTAAAACATAAATAGCTTTATTGAGATATAATTCACAAGTTGTATGATTCACTCATTTTTAGTGTGCAAGACAGTGATTTTTAGAAAGTTCACAGTGTTGTTCAATCACACATAATTTTATTTGAGTTGTAAGAGTTCTTTACATGTTCTGGATGTAAATCCTTATGGGAGATATGATACACAAATAATTTTTCCTAGTCTGTGGGTTGTCTTTTTACTTTTTTGGTGGTGGTCTTTGGATCATAAAAGTTTTAAGTTTTTATGTAATCCAATTTATATTTTTTTGTTCATTTGTGTCTTGTTCTTTTAGTGTCATATTTAAGAAACCATTGCCGAACCCAAGGTCACCATGGTTTGTTCTTGTCACAGTGTTCTTTATGCTAAATTTAGTTCAGTTGGCCTCTGAAGCTGAGATTGTGTAATGGTGAAGAGGGAGTGTGGTATTTGACATAATGAGGACTAATTTTTCAAATGTATCAATGAATCTTTTTTTTTTTTTTTTTTTTTTTTGAGACAGAGTCTTGCTCTGTTGCCCAAGCTGGAGTGCAATGGCACAATCTCAGCTCACTGCAACCTTTGCCTCCCAGGTTCAAGTGATTTTCCTGCCTCAGCCTCCTGAGTAGCTGGGATAACAGGCGCCCACCATCACTCCTGGCTAATTTTTGTATTTTTAGTAGAGATGGGATTTTGTCATGTTGGTCAGGCTGGTCGCGAACTCCTGACCTCAGGTAATCCACCCGCCTCGGCCTCCCAAAGTGCTGGCATTACAGGCGTGAGCCACCATGCCCTGCCAGAAACCCCATCTCTACCAAAGAAAGAAAAATTAGACAGGCATGGTATAGTTCCAGCTACTTGGGAAGCTGAGGTGGGAGGATCGCTTGAACTTGGGAGGCAGAGGTTGCAGTGAGCCATGATTGTACCACTGTACTACAGCCTATGTGATAGAGCTAGACTCTGTCTCAAAAAAAAAAAAAAAAAAGACAGTTATTACAACCTGAAAAATTTACAGTGAAGGCTTTTAGGTCCTTAAATGGTTTAAAAGTAGATTTTAGCCACGCGCTGTGACTCGTGCCTGTAATTCCAGCACTTTGGGAGGCTGAGGCGGGCGGATCATGAGGTCAGGAGTTCGAGACCAGTTTGGCCAATATGGTGAAACCCCATCTCAACTAAAAATACAAAAAAAAATTAGCTGGGCATGGTGGTGCACGCCGGTAGTCCCAGCTACTTAGGAGGCTGAGGCAGGAGAATCGCTTGAACCCAGGAGGCGGAGGTTGCAGTGAGCCAAGACTGCACCACTGAACTCCAGCCTAGGTGACAGAGTGAGACTCTGTCTCAAAAATAAAGAAATAGCTGCGTGCTGTGGTCTCTATCTCCTAACATCGTGATCCGTTCACCTCGGCCTCCCAAAGTGCTGGGATTACAGACGTGAGCCACCGTGCCTGGCCATATTTGTATATCTAAACTTAGAAAAGGCAGTAAAACTATGGTAAAAATGATTTTTTTTTTTTTGTAAACCCTTTAGGGGGCCAAAGGTGCAATGATTGCTTGAGGCCAGGAGTTGGAGACCAGCCTGGGCAATATAGCAAGACCTTGTCTCCACAAAGAATAAAAATAAATTAGCTAGGCATGGTGGTACATGCCTGCAGTCCCAGCTATTTGGGAGGCTGAGGCAGGAGGATCCCTTGAGCCTCAGAGTTTGAGGCTACAGTAAGCTATGGTTGTGCCTGTGAATAGCCAACACACTGCAGCCTGGTGAGAAAACGAGACCCTGTCTCTAACAAAAACAACACACACACACAAATACATTGTTCAGCTGTACAAAATTATTTTCTTTTTTTTTTTTTTTTGAGACGGAGTCTCGCTCTGTCGCCCAGGCTGAAGTATTGTGGCACAATAGTAGGTTATTGTAGCCTTGATCCCCTGGGACTCAAGGGATCTTCCTACCTCAGCCTCTAGAGTACCTGGGACTACAGATGTGCGCCACTGCATTTTTTTTTTTTTTTTAGATGGAGTCTCGCTCTGTCATCCATTCTGGAGTGCAGTGGCACAATCTCGGCTCACTGCAAGCTCCGCCTCCCAGGTTCACGCCATTCTCCTGCCTCAGCCTCCCGAGTAGCTGGGACTACAGGCTCCCGCCACCACGCCCAGCTAATTTTTTTGTATTTTTAGTAGAGACGGGGTTTCACCGTGTTAACCAGGATGGTCTCGATCTCCTGACCTCGTGATCCGCCCGCCTCGGCCTCCCAAAGTGCTGGGATTACAGGCTTGAGCCACCGTGCCCGGCAATTTTTTTTTTTTTAAGAGATGAGGTCTCACTATGTTGCCCAGACTAGTCTCAAACTCTTGGCCTCCCAAAGTGCTGGAATTACAGATGTGAGCCCCTGCACTCGGACCTGCATGATTTCTTATCTATATGGTAGAAGAATTTCCATCTTTCTTTCTTTCCCTCCCTCCCTTCTTTCCTTTCTGTTTTAATGATGAGTACTGTATAGACACATTTAGAAAAAAAAAATTTAGACTGGGTGCTGTGGCTCACGCCTGTAATCCCAACACTTTGGGAGGCCAAGGTGGGCGGATCACTTGAGGTCAGGAGTTTGAGGTCAGCCTGGCCAACACAGTGAAACCCTGTCTCTACTCAAAATACAAAAATTAGCTGAGTGTGGTGGCACACCCCTGTAGTCCCAGCTACTCAGGAGGCTGAGGCAGGAGAATAACTTGAACTTGGAAGGCAGAGGTTGCAGTGAGCCGAGATTGTGCCACTGTACTCCAGCCTGGGTGACACAGTGAGACTCCATGTCAAAAAAAAAAAAAAAAAATGTAGACATAATACCTATAGTGATGTGGCTTACATGATGTGAATGAATGTGTTTAAATCGAAATGAATATGTATGTTTAACTTGAATACAAGACAAAATTATTAAAGACTAATTAAGTCATATACATAATAAAAAAATCAAAATCCTTATTTTTCTGTTATTCACATCCATTAAGAAGAAGTAAAATATACTCAGATCCAATATACTTGATCTGTCTGGTAGTGATACCTAAATAAGGTAATGATGTTAACATCTTGTCATTTTCCTTAGTATTTTTACTTGAAAAATCAAATAGCTTTGACTTTGCACTATAATTAGGAATGGCTGCACACAAATTTCAGGTGGACTTACATGTTATTACTCATATTAATTAAACATAATTTTCCAGGTTATTAATGATCCTATCCATGGCCACATTGAGCTCCACCCTCTCCTCGTCCGAATCATTGACACACCTCAATTTCAACGTCTTCGATACATCAAACAGCTGGGAGGTGGTTACTATGTTTTTCCAGGAGCTTCACACAATCGATTTGAGCATAGTCTAGGGTAAGAAGGGAATGGGGTGGGGAACTTGCAGTTTTTAGGTATTTCCTCTGTCTCATGAAATAGTTACCTTAGGCTAGGCATGGTGGCACATGCCACCACTTCTGGCTAATTTTGTATTTTTAGTGGAGATAGAGTTTCATCATGTTGGCCAGGCCAGTCTCGAACTCCCGACCTCAGGTGATCCGCCCGCCTCAGCCTCCCAAAGTGTTGGGATTACAGGCATGAGCCACCATGCCTGACCCTCTTCTTTCTGTTTATGAATTTCACTACTCTAGGTACCTCATCTTAATGAAATCATACAATATTTGTCTTTTTGTCACTGGCATATTTCACTTAGCATAATTTCCTCAAAGTTCATCCATGTTGTAGCATGTGTCAGTATTTCCTTCTTTTTTATTAGTTTTTTAATTAATTTATTTTTTATTTCCTTCCTTTTTAAGGTTGAATAATGTTTATCATATGTAGACACCACATTTTGTTTATTCATTTATTGATGGATACCTGTTGCTTTTACCTCTTGGCTATTTTGAGTAGTGCTGCTATGAACATGTCTGTACAAATATATTTTCTTTCTTTTTTTGGCGGGGGGGGGGGGGCGCGGTACGGAGTCTTGCTCTGTTGCCCAGGCTGGAGTGCAATGGTGCGATCTTGGCTCACTGCAACCTGTGCCTCCTGGGTTCAAGCAATTCTCCTGCCTCACCCTCCCAAGTAGCTGAAATTACAGGTACCTGCCACGACGCTCAGCTAATTTTTGTATTTTTTAGTAGAAATAGGGCTTCAACATGTTGGCCAGGCTGGTCTCAAACCCCTGACCTCAAGTGATCTGCCCACCTCAGCCTCCCAAAGTGCTAGTATTACAGGCGTGAGCCACCGAGCCCAGCCAATCTTTCCAAGACCCTACTTTGTTATTGTGGATGTATACCCAGAAGTGAAATTGCTAAATCACTGTGGTAATTCCATTTTTAATTTTTGTGGAGCACCCATACTGATTTCCATGGCAACTACACCATAATACATCCCCACTAACAGTGCACAGGGTTCCAATTTCTCCACATCATGTCCAACACTTGTTATTTTCTGGTTTTCTTTTTTTAACAGTAGCTATCCTAAGGGGTGTGAAGTGGTATCTCACTGTGGTTTTGATTTGCATTCCTCTAATGATTGGTGATACTAAGCCAGAGGTCCTGCTTTTGGGATTCCGTTTGTGTGTGTTCCTGCCTCGTTCTGAAATAGACTGTTGAGTAAAGTTGCCCTGAAGATACGTTAGAATATTTGAGGAAACATACTGAAGTTCTTGAGGACCAGAACCATCACTCCTCTTGCAAACGGAAGAGTGACTTCTTGTGTTTTTACTCTACAGGGTGGGGTATCTAGCAGGATGTCTAGTTCGCGCCCTGGGTGAAAAACAACCAGAGCTGCAGATAAGTGAACGAGATATTCTCTGTGTTCAGATTGCTGGACTTTGTCATGATCTCGGTAAGCCGTACAAAGAGACAAAGTTGTTATGTAAAATCATAACATATGTTACCTCTCTTTGACATTAAAAAATCAGATCAACCAAGAGAATATGGAAGTTGTATTTTAATTCTTTAGTTGACATTAGTATAAATGTACTGTTGCTTCTTCCTAGAATGATTCATAAGTAGAAAACATTGCTATTTTATATTCTTGGCATCTTTCAGTGAATTTCTCATGTTAGACATCTTTGCTAAAAGGGTGTTTTTTTTTTGTTTTTTTTTTTGTTTTTTTTGAGACGGAGGCTTGCTCTGTTGCCCAGGCTGTAGTGCAGTGGCTCATTATCAGCTCACTGCAACCTCTGTTTCCTGGTTTCAAGCAATTCTCGCGCTTCAGCCTCCCGAGTAGCTGGGATTACAGGCATGCACCATCATATCCAGCTAATTTTTGTATTTTTAGCAGAGACAGAGTTTCACCATGTTGGCCAGGCTGGTCTCGAACTCCTGAACTCAGGTGATCCATCAGCCTCAGCCTCCCAAATCCCAAAGCGCTGGGATTACAGGCAGGAGCCACCGTGCCCGGCCATCATCTTTATTACAGGTTATATGAAAGGGCGTTTTGATAATGAGTTTTTCTTACTACTGTTTTTAGGATGGTGTGTGAATTTTATTTTTCTTTTATCCTTCTTATTAAATAAAATTACCATTTTTCCTACAGTTATTTGGTCAAATCCATTTTTTTTTCATATTTATAATCTCTAATCTGCCCAAGTGGATTAACACATTTAGAGAACTTGTGTTTTCTGATCCATGTGAGGTCTTGGGCCACTTTAATCCAAGCAAAAGAGTATCACCCTTTTCCTGTGACAGAGAGAAAGGGGACTGTCCTATTTATTTATTTATTTATTTATTTATTTGAGTCTTGCTCTGTCACACAGACTGGAGTGCAGTTGGCACAATCTCAGCTCACTGCAATCTCACCTCCTGGATTCAAGTGACTCTCCTGCCTCAGTTTCCCGAGTAGCGCCTGGCTCATTTTTTTGTATTTTTAGTAGAGATGCGGTTTCATCATGTTGTTGAAGCTGGTCTCGAACTCCTGATCTCAAGTAATTCACCTCCTTCGGCCTCCCAAAGTGTTGGGAATACAGGCATGAGTCACCACGTTGGGCCGGGACTGTCCCTTTTAAATCATGGGGGTTTTTACCTCTATCCTTATAGTTTATTCCTACTTATTCAGGGACCCTGAGAGTTTGTGTGTACCCTCAGGGCAGGGGAAGGGATCTGCCCCTGTTTAGATAGCTAGATACTTAAAGCGAGTAGGCATTCTTTTTATGTCCCCCTGGAAACTTCCAAAGAACCAATACTAGCCCCTAAATGATAAATTTGATGGATTCTTGGTATTTTGAGAGAGAATCATTGGGAAACCTTTACCAGTCCCCAGGAGCCTGAGCACTGCATTAGCCAGCCTTTATGTGTAGCCTATGACTTGCAGAGAAGGGCCAGGGCTAGTCTAGGTTGACTTTCCTCTCCAGTTAAGTGGCTCACTTCTTTTCTTTTTTTTTTTTTCAGATGCAGTCTCACTCTGTTGCCCAGGCTGGAGTGCAATTGTGCGATCTTGGCTCACCACAACCTGGGTTCAAGCAATTCTCCTGCCTCAGCCTCCTGAGTAGTTGGGACTACAGGCACACGCCACCATGCCCAGCTAATTATTATAATTTTAGTAGAGACAGGGTTTCACTATATTGGTCAGGCTGGTCTCAAACTGTAGACCTCAGGTGATCCACCTGCCTCAGCCTCCCAAAGTGCTGGGATTACAGGCATGAGCCACCACACCCAGCCAAAGATAGATTTTTTTAAGCTTGAGAGTAATAAGATAAATTCTAATTTTTTCTTCTGCACCCCAGTGGATTTTCTTTTTTTTTTTTTTTCCTGAGACAGAATCTCGCTCTGTTGCCCAGGTTGGAGTGCAGTGGCACAATCTCAGCTCACTATAACCTCCGCCTCCCGGGTTTAAGCGATTCTCCTGCCTCAGCCTCCTGAGTAGGTAGGATTACAGGTGCCTGCCACCACACTCGGCTAATTTTTGTATTTTTAGTAGAGACGGGGTTTCACCATCTTGGCCAGGCTTGTCTCGAACTCCTGACCTCGTGATCCACCTGCCTTGGCCTCCCAAAGTGCTGGGATTACAGGCATGAGCCACTGCGCCAAGCCCCTTTTTTTAAAATTTTGATATGGAGTCTTGCTCTGTCACCCAGGCTGGGGTTCAGTGGTGTGATCTCGGCTCACTGCAAGCTCTGCCTCTTGGGTTCACACCATTCTCCTGCCTCAGCTTCCTCAATAGTTGGGACTACAGGCGCCCGCCACCAAGCCCGGCCAATTTTTTGTATTTTTAGTAGAGATAGGGTTTTTACCATGTTGGCCAGGCTGGTCTTGAACTCCTGACTTGAAGTGATCTACCTGCCTCAGCCTCCCAAAGTGCTGGGATTACAGGCATGAGCCACCACACCTGGCCCCAGTGATTTTCCTAAAACTGCTATTTTAATCCAGGCATTTTCAATCTGAAGATTTCAAAAAGTTTTTGGCATTAACATTCTTTTCAGTTACACAGAATTGTCCATTTATCAAGCCCTGCGTGGTGGTGCATGCCTGTAGTCCCAGCTATTCAGGTGGCTGAGGTAGGAGGATGACTTGAGGTCAGGAGTCCAAGGCTACAGTGCATAATGATCATGTTTGTGAATAGCCACTGCACTCCAGCCTGAACAACATAGCAAGATTCTGTCTCTTCATAAAACAACGAAAACTGCCCTTTTATCAGATTTATGTAAGCCCTGGTGACTGGAGACCGCTCAATGGAGAGCTTGCTTTTCCATGTTTCTGCTTCCTGTTCTCCTGTTTTAGAAATAGGAAGGAAGGGTTTGTCCCTTTTTGTGATTGTATTTTTAGATTATTAATTTCTGTTGCTATTCAAGTTAAACTAAAAAGATTAAAGAATTCAGTTTAGCCAGGTGTGGTGGCTCACGCCTATAATCCCAGCACTTTGGAAGGCTGAGATGGGCGGATCACCTGAGGTCAGGAGTTCGAGACCAGCCTGACCAACATGGAGAAACCCCATCTCTACTAAAACTACAAAATTAGCTGAGTGTGGTGGCACACGCCTGTAATCTCAGCTACTCGGGAGCCTGAGGCACGAGAATTGCTTGAACCTGGGGAGTGGAGGTTGTGTTGAGCCAAGATCGCACCACTACACTCCAGCCTGGGCAACAAGAGCGAAACTCCGTCTCAAAAAAAAAAAAAAGAAAAAAAAGTTTATGTTATTTTACAGATGTTTTTCTTGTTCTAAGGCTGATTTTGTTTTTAAGGTCATGGGCCATTTTCTCATATGTTTGATGGACGATTTATTCCACTTGCTCGCCCGGAGGTGAAATGGACAGTATGTATTCATACATTCAATAGTCAATAAAAAGAAAGATTATTTAAGCAGGTTATTCAGTTAATTTATCTGTTTGGTTCCACTACTGTGTTATAAAATACTTCCCCATTACAGTATCCAGGGTGCTTTCATTCACATATGTATATATGTTTTTGTTTGGTCCTCACAGTAGTCTGTAAGGAAGTTATCATTATCTCCCTTTTTACAAATAAAGGAACTGGAAACTCTTGGATGTGTATTGATGCGTCAAAAATCACAAAGCTGTTAACTATTGGAATCAGCAATACAAAACCAGTTGCCAGTTTAATGCTCCTTCTGCTGCATTGTACTACTGTATGTTAAAAGGCCAACTCCAATTCTGACACATTTGGTATGACCATGAACTAACTGTGACTAGCCAAGTCATATATATCAAGTGAATCATTTTAAAATTAGGCATTTGCAGGTGGCTGTCTCATATTTTGGGATCAATTTTTGAGAAGTAAAATTAGATTGGTTTTTACTACACTGTATTTCTGGAACGGGAATAGAAAAGGATATTAATATATATTGAAAACTTCTTACATGTCAACCACTTTTTTTTCTCTTTCTCTCTCTTTTTTTGAGGTATAGTTCACACACAATAAGTTGTCCAGATCTTAAGTTCAGTGAGTTTTGACAGGTGTATGCATGCATATGACTATTACCCAGTCAGGATATAGAACATTTTCATCTTCCTGAAAAATTCCCATGTTCTTTTTCCCAGTCAATTCCCACTCCCCCTCACCCCACCATCATCTTCTGATTTTCACAAACATAAATGAATTTTGTTGTTCTTAGACTTGATTAAGCCGAATCAAGTTCTATTTTATGCCTTGCTTTATTTACTCCACATAATGGTTTTGAGATTTGTTCATGTTGTGTGCCTCAGTAGTTGATCCTTTTTTTATCACCTATGTGATGTGACATTGTGCGAATAAGTCACAATTTGTTTACCCTTTCTTGTTTTGTTGGCATTTGGATTGTTTTCAGGTTTCGACTTATAAATAAGGTGGTTGTGCACATTATCGTACAAGATTTTGGTAGAAATACATTTTCTGTGTTGTAGTGTGGAAAGTTAATTACGTTTTTAAAACAAGAAATATGTTCAGCAGAAATGTATTATTTTATTTTATAAACATAAAAATAGATAAAATAAAGAAACACATTTTCACTTCGCTTAGGTAAATACCGAGGAGTTAGAATTGCTGGGTCATATGGTAGATGTGTATTTAATTCTGTAAGAAACTACCAGAGTTTTCCAATGTGGCTGTACCATTTTACACTCCCATCCGGAACGTATTGGAGTTCCAGCTGTTTTATAGCCTCACCAACATTTGGCCTTTCAGATTAGCCCTTCTAATGAGTGTCAAATGGTATTTCATGGTTCGATTTTCTAATGTATGTTGAATACTATTTCCTGTACTTTATACTTTGTTATTGACATTTCTTCTTCTGCAAAGAACTCTCAACATTTTACTCATTTAAAAAGTTTGATTGCTTGCTCTTTGATTATTGAGTTGTGGAATTCCTTATATATGTATGCTTAGGTATATGTATTGTGAATATTTTTCCCCAGTGTCTGACTTGGACAATTCATTTTTTCATGGTGCCTTTTGAAAAGCAGACATTTTCAATTTTGATGAAGTACTCTGGTTCTTCAAGCCAGTAAAATGGGTAGTTTCTTACCACTTTTTCTGTCTTGGGGCCTGCCCTGAGGCTCAACACCATAAAACCGGAATGTCACCTAGTACTTCTCCCTTCTAAGTATTGAGGTCTAACATCCGCTTGGTTTTGGTCTCTCTCCAGGACCTTCAGGGAGTTGTCCAGAGCTTATAGTTGTTTTCTCCTGCAGTTGATCTAATAGGATCTACTCAATCATTACCAAGTATTTTCCTTTAAGTATTTTGCCTTTCACGTTTAAATCCTTAGCTCATGTACAATTTATTTTTGTGTAAGTAAATGGGAGAAATCTTTTTTTCTTTTTTTTTGAGATGGAGTCTCACTCTATCACCCAGGCTGGAGTGCAGTGGTGCAATCTTTGCTCACTACAACCTCCGCCTCCCGGGTTCAAGCAATTCTCCTGCCTCAGCCTCCTGAGTACCTGGTAACACAGGCGTGTGCTACCATACCCGGCTAACTTTCGTATTTTTAGTAGAGATGGGGTTTCACCATGTTGGTTAGGCTGGTCTTGAACTCCTGATTTCATGATCCACCTGCCTAGGTCTCCTAAAGTGCTGGGATTACAGACGTGAGCCACCGTGCCTGGCCAAGAAACCTAATTTTTAAATAGTTCATCCTATCCCCACTGACCGTAATACCAACCCCAACATTTATTAACTTCCCATATATAATGAATCATTCTGCATTCTGTTCTGTTTCCACACTTGTTACTTGGGGAGGAAAAAAAAAAGAAGAAAAGAAATTTGTATCTGAAAAATATGAGCCCCTTTACATGATCAGGCCCAGAGAGGCCTTGAAATAGAACAGCAATCATGTCACACCCCCTGGAGCTAAATAACTATTACCTCTTGAAGTCAGCTGCTGTGTGGGATGCCAGGTAACCATATAATGCCATACACCCTGTACTTCATAAGATGTAGCCAATCACTAACTAACGTTACTTCTGTAAGCCAGTGAACACTCCTAACAGCTTTCGTGATCACCTCCTCTTTGTGATCTCCTCCTCCTGATTTGTGCTCTTTTCTTTTTCTTTTCTTTCTCTCCTTTCTTTCTGTCTTTCTCTTTTTCTCTTCCTCACTTTCTCTCTTTCTCACTCTTTCTCTCTCTTTCTTTTTCCCTTCCTACCTTCCTTTGCTTCCCTTCTTTCCCTTCCTTTTCTTTCCCCCTTCCCCCCCCCCTCCCCCCCCTCCCATTCCCCTCCCCTTCTCCTCCCCTTCTCCTTCCCTTCCCCTCCCCCTCCCCTCGACAGGCTCTTGCTTTGTCACAAACACATCTTACTGCAACCTCGACTTCCAAGGCTCAAGCAATTCTTCCACTTCATCTTCCCAAGTAGCTGGGACTACAAGCACACACTACCATGCCCAGCTAATTTTTTGTATTTTGTGTAGAGGCAGGTCTCACTGTGTTGCCCAGGCTGGTCTCAACTGCCAAGCTCAAGCTATCTGCCCACCTTGGCCTCCTAAAGTGCTGAGATTACAGGCCTAAGCCACCACACCTGGCCAGTCCTTTTTTCTTTAATAACTTGAGCCTCTCTTTTGTTCTCCCCAAGCATTCCCCAAGGCAATTTGTAAATGTGTCCTCAACCTTGGCCCAAATAAACTCTCTATATTAAATATTTCTCAGCTCCTTCCTTTTAGGTTGACATACTTTATAACAAGATTTATGTTTTTATTTTTTCTTTTCTGTGGAGAACAGTCTTACTATGTTGCCTAGGCTGGTCTTGACTTCCAGACTCATGCAATCCTTGCACCTCAGCCTCCCAAGTAGCTGAGACCACAGGCCTGCACCATCACACCTGGGTTTTTATTTGTAGAGATGGAGTCTTACTATGTTGCCTAGGCTGGCCACGAAAATCATACATCTTTGTTATACTTACTCCTAAGTTCCTTATAATTTTAGTTATTGTTGTTATTATGGTCTGTGCTAGCTTTATGAAACTTATTTTTTTCTGTTTGCCAGTATATTCACAGTTGGCATTGATATATTTAAAACTACTCTTTTGAAAATCCCTTACTTATTTTATTTATTTATTTATTTTTATTTTATTGTTTTTGAGACAGGGTCTTGCCTTGTCATGCGGGCAGGAGCTCAGTGATGTCATCTAAGCTCACTGCAACCTCCACCTCCCAGGTTCAAGTGATCCACCTCATTTTTATTTTTTAAAATACTCCCTCTTCATATATAAATTTTTTTTCTGAATCATTAGAAAGTAAGTTTTGACCAGGCACAGTGGCTCATGGTTGTAATACCAACATTTTGGGAGGCCAAGGTGGGCAGATCGCTTGAGCCCAGGAGTTCAAGACCAGCCTGGACAACATGGTGAAACCCCATCTCTACAAAAAAATTTAAAAATTAGCCAGGCATGGTGGGGTGGCAGGATTGCTTGAGCCTGGGAGGTCGAGGCTGCAATGAGCTGTGATCGTGCTACTGCACTCCAAAGTAGGTAATAGAGTGAGAACCTGTCTCAAAGAAAGAAAGTTCGTTTTTAGACTGAACACAGTGGCTCACACCTGTAATCCCAAAGTTTGGGAGGCTGAGGCAGGAGGATAGCTTTGAGGCCAGGAGTTCAAGACCAGCCTGGGCAACATAGTGAAACTCTGTTTCTACAAAATTATGAAAACATCAGCTGGTCATGGTGGTGCACACCTGTAGTCCTAGCTACTGAGAAGACTGAGATGGGAGGATTGCTTGAATCCAGGAGTTCAAGGATACACTGAGCTATGAATACGCCACTGAGCTCCAGCCTGAGTGATAGAGCAAGAGCCCTGTCTCTCAAAGAATGTAAATTGTTGAAATATTTTATTTATAAATACTTCAGTGGGTATTTCCTAAAAACAACATTTTCTTATATAACCATAATATAATTGTCAAAATCAGTAAATTAATGTTGATACAGTACTCTTATCTAATTCAGACTTTCAAATTTTACCAATTGTTCATATAGAAAAAGAGGAAAAAAACTTTTTTTCCCTGGTCCAGAAATACGTATTGTATTTGGTTGCCATTTTTCTAATTTCTTTTGATCTAGAACAATTCTTCAGTCTTTATCGTTAGTGACTTTGTCATTTTTTTTAAAAGAGCAAGTGAGCTATTTTGTGGAATATTCATCAATTTGAGTTTCAGTGTGATGTTTCCTCATAGATTCAAGCCATGCATTTTTGGTAGAATGCCACAAAAGTTATGTGTCCAGGTCGGATGCGGTGGCTCACGTCTGTAATTCCAGCACTTTGGGTGGCCGAGGTGGGTTGGTCACCTGAGGTCAGGAGTTTGAGACCAGCCTGCCCAATATGGCGAAACCCTGTCTCTACTAAAAATATAAAAATTTTCTGGGCGTGGTGATGGTCACCTGTAATCCCAGCTACTCAGGAGGCTGAGGCAGGAGAATCACCTGAACCCAGGAGGCGGAGGTTGCCGTGAGCCAAGATCACGCCATTTCACTCCAGCCTGGGAAACGAAAGCGAAAAAAAAAAAAAACCACAAAAAAAATTAGCTGGGTGTGGTGGCACATGCCTACTTGGGAGGCTGAGGAAGGAGAATTGCTTGAGCCCAGGAGGCAGAGATTGCAGTAAGCGGAGATCACGCCACTGCACTCCAGCCTGGGCGACAGAGCTAGACTCTGTCTCCAAAAAAAAAGTGATACGTCCTTGATAGTGTATCTCAGGAGGCACATAAAACCTAGTTGAGCCAATACCAGTGATATTAATTCTGATTACTTGATTAAGGCATTGTTTGTCAAATTTCTCCACTATAAAGTTGCTATTTTTCCTCTTTGTAATTACATATATCTTGATTCAATTTGGTCTTTGTTTTGTTTTGCTTTGTTTTGTTTTTTTGAGATAGAGTCTCGCTCTGTCGCCCAGCCTGTAGTGCAGTGGCACAATCTCAGCTCACCACAACCTCCACCTCCCGGGTTCAAGCGTTTCTCCCGCCTCAGCCTCCTGAGTAGCTGGGACTATAGGCGCGTGCCACCACGCCCAGCTAATTTTTGTTTTTGTTTTTTTTCTTTTTTTTTTCTTGAGACGGAGTCTCGCTTTGTCGCCCAGGCTGGAGTGCAGTGGCCGGATCTCAGCTCACTGTAAGCTCCGCCTCCCGGGTTTACGCCATTCTCCTGCCCCAGCCTCCCGAGTAGCTAGGACTACAGGCGCCCGCCACCTCGCCCGGCTAGTTTTTTTGTATTTTTTAGTAGAGACGGGGTTTCACCGTATTAGCCAGGATAGTCTCGATCTCCTGACCTCGTGATCCGCCCGTCTCGGCCTCCCAAAGTGCTGGGATTACAGGCTTGAGCCACCGTGCCCAGCCTAATTTTTGTATTTTTAGTAGAGAGAGGGTGTCACCATGTTGGGCAGGATGATCTCGATCTCCTGACCTCGTGATCCACCCACCTCTGCCTCCCAAAGTGCTGGGATTACATGCGTGAGCTACTGCTCCCGGCCAATTTGTTTGTTGTTGTTTTTGGAGACAAGGTCTTTCTCTGTTGCCTAGGTTGGAGTGCAGGCATGAACACAGCTAACTGCAGCCTCAGCCACCTGGGCTCAAGCAATCCCCCCGCACTAGTCTCCCAAGTAGCTGGGACCACAGGGGCATGCCACTATACCCAGCCAATTTTTTTATCTTTTTGTAGAAACAGGGTCTTGCTTTGTTGCCCAGGCTGGTCTCGACCTCCTGTGCTCAAGCAATCCTCCCACCTTTGCCTCTCAAAAAAAATGCTGGGATTATAAATGTGAGCCACTGCACCCAGCCTGATTCTGTTTTTGTGGGTTTTTTGTTGTTGTTGTTTGTTTTTGAGACAGAGTCTCATTCTGTTGCCCACCCAGGCTGGAGTGCAGGGCGATCTCGGCTCACTGCAACCTCCACGCTCGGGGTTCAAGTGATTCATCTGCCTCAGTCCCCCAAGTAGCTGGGATTATAGGTGCGCACTACGTGCCTGGCTAATTTTGTATTTTTTAGTAGACACAGGGTTTTGCCATGTTGGCCAAACTTGGACTCCTGACCTCAAGTGATCCGCCCACCTCAGCTTCCCAAAATGCTGGGATTACAGGTGTGAGCCACAGCACCCAGCCCTGATTCTGTTTTTAAGAATAGTTTCAGCTGGGCACGGTGGCTCACGTCTGTAATCCCAGCACTTTGGGAGGCCGAGGCGGGCGGATCACGAAGTCAGGAGATCAAGGCCATACTGGCTAACATGGTGAAACCCCGTCTCTACTAAAAATACAAAAAAAATTATCCAGGCGTGGTGGCACGTGCCTGTAGTCCTAGCTACTCAGGAGGCTGAGGCAGGAGAATGGCGTGAACCTGGGAGGTGGAGCTTGCAGTGAGCCAAGATGGCGGCACTGCACTCCAGCCTGGGTGACAGAGTGAGACTCCATCTCAAAAAAAAAAAAAAAAGAATAATTTCTGGAGCAAGAATTGTTTCTGGGCAGGGGGGAAGAATAGTTACAGGGCAAGGTGCTTGTAATCCCACCACTTTGGGAGGCTGAGACAGGAGGATTACTTGGGCCTAGGAGTTCAAGACCAACCTGGTCAACAAATCAAGACCCTGCCTCTACAAAAAAATTTTAAAATTAGCTGGGTAGGGTGGTGCGCACCTGTGGTTTCAGCTACTCAGGAGGCTGAAATGGGAGGATCACTTGAGCCCAGGAGTTCAAGGCTACAGTGACCCCCATGATCATACCACTGGACTGTAGCCAGGGCAACAGAGCGATTCCCTGTCTCTTTAAAAAAAAAAAAAAAAAAGTTACAGGACAATTCAGGTTTTAATTTTCATCTTGAGTTAGTTTACGGTAGGACCTAGGAAAGGGCAGATGTCTTCAGGAGTTCATTTGATCCTTTACATTGATTGTGAATCAGTGAGCAGAGATGAGCAAACAGGCCAATTTGAGATTTCAAGGGAGAGCTTTGTTTTTACTGGCAAGTTTGCAGTTACCCCTTTTCACCACTAGATGGTAGTGCCTAACAGAGCTTATAACTGCACATGTTCAAAGGCTGATGAAAACATAAAATTCAATTTTATGATGATATTTATTAAATGTAATTCTATCTACATGATCTTGTAATATTCAGTTAGGTACTGTAAGTGATTATATCATAAAATGCGTTAAATATGTTTATGAAATAATAAGTTTTGTAAAAGTTTTGTAGACTAGTAAAATCATGAAAAATCTGACAGGTTTTTAAAAATGTTCCTAAGATTGTGGTTAGAAACTAGAGAATTAATATGCAATAGACCCTTATCTCAGAATTACTTGGAATTGAGGATAATTTTGTTAATCAGGACTTCCAGTGGGCTAGAATCTTTAACACATCATATTGTGCTTACTTTTCCTAGCATGAACAAGGCTCAGTTATGATGTTTGAGCACCTTATTAATTCTAATGGAATCAAGCCTGTCATGGAACACTATGGTCTCATCCCTGAAGAAGATATTTGCTTTATCAAGGAACAAATTGTAGGACCACTTGAATCACCTGTCAAAGGTGTTTTGGTAAGTTTCTGTACAACTTAATTTTAACTGACTGGTGCTTTTCATCTAGCCTTTTCATGATTCCTTCTGAGTTATACATTTGGCTATTTTAGAGGCTAAATGGTAAAATATGAGTTCTATGTTTCTACTGTTTAATGCAAAAAATGAAAGGCTTATATTTTTTTCTACCTCTCAAGTGAAATATTTAGAAGTTACTTCCCAAAACTATATATACAGAAATTCTTTTTTTTTTTTTTTTTTTTTTTTTTTTGAGACAGGATCTTACTCTGTCACACAGACTGGAGTGCAGTGGTGCAATCTCAGCTCACTGCAACTTCCACCTCCCAGGCTCAAGCGATCCTCCCACCTCAGCCTCCTGAGTAGCTGGGACCACAAACGTGCACTACCATGCCCAGTTAATTTTTGTATTTTTTGTAGAGATGGGGTTTTGTCACATTGCCCAGGCTAGTCTTGAAATCCTGATCTCAAGTGATCTGCCCAGCTCTGCCTCTGAAAGTGCGGGATTACAGGTGTGAGCCACTGTGCTTGGCATAAATTCTTTCCCTTCCCTTCCCTTCCCTGCCCTGTCCTGCCCTGCCCTTTCCTGTCTTACTCTGTCGGCGAGGCTGGAGTGCAGTGGCACGATCTCAGTTCAGTGCAACCTCCGTCTCCCAGGCCCAAGCAATTCTCTTGCCTCAGCCTCCCGTGTAGCTGGGATTACAGGTGTGTGCCACCACGCTCGGCTAATCTTTGGATTTTTAGTAGAGACGGGGTTTCACCATGTTGCCCAGGCTGGTCTCAAACTCCTGACCTCAGGTGATCCACCCACCTCAGCCTCCCAAAGTGCTGGGATTACAGGCGTGAGCCACTGTGCCCGGCCATAAATTATTTTTTAGTGAATATATATGCAGTATTTTATTCATTTAAAAAAATTTTTTTTTAGAGATGTGGTCTCACTATGTTGCCTAAGCTGGTTTCGAATTCCTGGGCTCAAGTGATTCTCCCACTTTGGGAGGCCATGATGAGAGGATCACTTGAGTCCTGGAGTTTGAGATCAGCCTGGATAACATACTGAAACCCTGCATCATGCCTGTTGTCTCAGATGCTTGGGGGGCTGAGGCAGCCTGCAGTGATCTGTGATTGTGCAACTGCACTCCAGCCTGGGCAACAGAGCTATACCCTGTCTCCAAATAAAAAAAAAAAAAAAAATCATATTTGAAATATTTAAATATATGGAGATCTACAAAAAAGTTGAACTGGTTCAATGAAAAATCTGTTTTGTTTCCTTTTTGATCTTTTGTATTTTTTTAATTAAAAATAAAGTTGGAAAATAATTTCCCCCTGAGACTTTTAGGGTTGTTTCCTCAAATATATACAAGCGTACTTACAGTATAAGATAAAGAGATGGGTTTTGTAGTAAATATCCTATTTCCAAAACAATTGAGCTCAAAGAATACATTCAACACATTTCCAAAACAATTGAGCTCAAAGAATACATTCAACAATGCATATTATTTAGACTAGGTGTGTAGCTACTTTGAAAGATAGTACTATTTTAATGCATGAATTCAAGCATCATTAGTTTATTATTAGATTTTATATTTTTTTTTTTTTTTATTTTTGAGACGGTCTTGTTGTGTTGCCCAGGCTAGAGGGCAGTAGTATAACCTCAGCTCACTGCAACCTCCACCTCCTGAGTTCAGGTGATTCTTCTACCTCAGCCTCCCGAGTAGCTGGGTTTACAGGCATTTGCTACCTAGCCTGGCTAATTTTTGTATTTTTAGTAGAGACAGGTTTCACCATCTTGGCCAGGCTGGTCTTGAACTCCTGACCTCGTTATCTGCCCTCCTCGGCCTCCCAAAGTGATGGGATTACAGGCGTGGAGCTCACTGCGCCTGGCCTAGATTTTATATTTTTCTAAAAACTTGGTTTATAAACCAAGAAAACACAGTTGTTGTTGGTTTTGGGAAATGTAATACAGTTAAGATCTTTTCAGTGACACAAGAAAAGAAAAATGTGGTAACACAAGGTATCATATACCTTAGCATTTCTTTTCCCTTTTCTACTAGTTTTGAAATGAAGTGGAAGAAGGAATAGAACCTTCTAGTTTATCTTATATTCCCAGTCAGGTATCTGTTTATAATTTACAGATTAATAAAATTGCTTTGCTTTGACTATAAATAGATTTGGTGCCTGTCCTAAAACTTCCAGTGGGTTTTCTTGCCTTCCAGTGGCCATATAAAGGGCGTCCTGAAAGGAAAAGCTTCCTTTATGAGATAGTGTCTAATAAAAGAAATGGCATTGATGTGGACAAATGGGATTATTTTGCCAGGTATGCATTGAACACTTCTGAAAAGTTGGCTAAAATATTTATATAAATTTAGATTACTATTTAAGGTACAGCTTCCTTGTTGAAAAATTTCTACATCTCTGCTTTGGAATCCTTCTAGGGACTGCCATCATCTTGAACTGTTAATTTTGATTACAAGCGCTTTCATTAAGCTTGCCCGTGTCTGTGAAGTAGGCAATGAGTTGCATATTTGTGCTAGAGATAAGGTAAGCTCTGCCAGAGGAGATAATAAGAAGAGTGTTGTTCCTGGTCTGAAATTTGGAAATAACCATTTGACAATTTGGAATAATTGGTAACCGACAATCTCTTTTACTTAATTCCTAGGATTTGTAAATATCTTTAGTCTCTTCCCTCCTACTGCATTATTAAATAATAATAAAATTAAAATGGACATTTATTAAGTTTTGAGTCAGACACTGGTTTTGGGGTTTTTTTGTTTGGTTGGTTGCATTTTTTTGAAATAGATCTCACTGTGTTCCCAGGCTAGTCTTGAACTCTGAGCTCAAGTGATCCTCCCTCCTCAGCCTCCTGCGAAGTGGACTACTGGTAAAGCATTATCATGCCTGGCTTTGTATGAGGCATTATTTGCGGCTTGACGGACTAAATTTGCCCGCATAACCCTGTGAGATAGATACTATTATTCCATTCAATGAAGTAGCAAATTAAGGCAACAGAGAAGGCATATAATTAACAAGTAGTAGAGTTGGAATCTCAACCCAAAAAATTTGTTTCCAGAGTCTCTCTTTTTTTTTTTTTTTTTTTTGAGATGGAGTCTCGCTCCACCACCCAAAGTGCAGTGGTGCCTTCTCGGCTCACTGCAAGCTCCACCTCCCAGGTTCACCCCATTCTCCTGCCTCAGCCTCCTGAGTAGCTGGGACTACAGGCGCCCCACTGCCTGCCAGGTTTTTTTTGTATTTTTAGTAGAGATGGGGTTTCACCGTGTTAGCCAGGATGATCTCGATCTCCTGACCTCGTGATCTGGCTGCCTCAGCTTCCCAAAGCGATTATAGGCATGAGCCACCGCGCCCAGCTCCAGAGTCTCATTTTTAATCACTATATTAGTGTTGAAAAAAATGTTATATACAGTTAATTCTGAATGTATCGTGTTTAGGGTGCTACTTCTCCTAGTTGAAAATCTATATATAACTTTTCTTTTTCTTTTTTTTTTTTTTTTTTTTTTTTTGAGCCAGAGTGCTCTAGGCTAGGGGTGCAATGGCACGATCTTGGCTCACTGCAAGCTCTGCCTCCTGGGTTCAAGTGATTCTTCTGCCTCAGCCTCATGACTAGCTAGGTTTACAGGTGCATGCCACCACGCCCAGCTAATTTTTGTCTTTTTATTAGACAATGGGGTTTCACCAGGTTGGCCAGGCTGGTCTCGAACTCCTGACCTCAAGTGATCCACCCACTTTGGCCTCCCAAAGTGCTGGGATTATAGGTGTGAGCCGAATGTGCTCGGCCTAAGGTCCTGCATACAACTTCTGACTTCCCAAAACTGAACTACTAATAGCCTCCTGCTTGACCAGAAGCCTTATTGATAACTTTAATGGTCAGTTACACACATTTTGTATGTTTTTTTTGGTTTTGTTTTGTTTGTGACAGGGTCTTGCTCTATCACTCAGGCTGGAGTACAGTGGCACTATCATAATGCACGTAGCCTTGACTTCCTGGGCTCAACTGATCCTTCCTCCTCTGCCTCTTGAGTAGCTGGGACTACAGGCCTATGCTTGGTTAATTTTGAAATTTATTTGATAGAGGTGGGATTTCACTGTGTTGCCCAGGCTGGTCTCAAACTCCTGGGATCAAGCAACCCACCCACCTCAGCCTCCTAAAGTGCTAAGTGATTAGTAGGTATGAGCCACTGTACTCCAGCCTATTTTGAATGTTACATGTGTCATATATTATTATTATTATTGTTATTATTTTGATACAGGATCTTACTCTGTCACCTGCATTGGAGTGTAGTGGTGCATTCTAATAACTGCAATCTCCACCTTTCCAGCTCAAGCAAAATCTCCCACTTTCAGCTTCCCAAGTAGCTGCAACCACAGGCACATGCCACTATACTGGCTAATTTTTTCTATTTTTTTTGTAGAGAGAGGGTTTCATATGTTCCCAGACTGGTCTCAACTCCTGACCTGAAGCGATTTGCTCTTCTACCTTCCTAAAGTGCTGAGATTACATGTTGGGAGCCACCATGCCCATCTACTGTATTTCCATAATAAAGTAAGCTAAAGAAAAGAAAATGCGGCCGGGTGCGGCTCGCCTGTAATCCCAGCACTTTGTAGCTTCCAGACGGGCGGATCACGAGGTCAGGAGATCGAAACCATCCTGGCACCTGTGAAACTTCGCCTTTACTAAAAATCATAAAAACTGGCCGGGCGTAGGTGGCGGGCGCCTGTAGTCTCGCTACTTCGGGAGGCTGAGGCAGGAGAATGGCGAGAACTCGGGAGGCGGAGCTTGCAGTGAGCTGAGATCCGGCCACTGCACTCCAGCCTGGGCGACAGAGCGAGACTCCGTCTCAAAAAAAAAAAAAAAAGAAAAGAAAAGAAATGTTGAAGGCAAAAAATCATAAGGCAAGACCAGGCGAGGTGGCTAACGCCTGTAATCCCAGCACTTTGGGAGGCCACGGTGGGTGAATCACCTGAGATTAAGAGTTCGAGACCAGGCCGGGCGCGGTGGCTCAAGCCTGTAATCCCAGCACTTTGGGAGGTCGAGACGGGCGGATCACGAGGTCAGGAGATCGGGCACCATCCTGGCGAACATGGTGAAACGCCGTCTCTACTAAAAATACAAAAACTAGCCGGGCGAGGTGGCGGGCGCCTGTAGTCTCAGCTACGTGAGGCGAGGCAGAATGCGTGAACTCGGGAGACGGAGCTTGCAGTGAGCTGAGATCCGGCCACTGCACTCCAGCCTGGGTGACAAAGCGAGATTCTGTCTCAAAAAAAAAAAAAAAAAAAAAAAGAGTTCGAGACCAGCCTGCCCAACCTGGGCAACATGGTGAAACCTTGTCTCTACTCAAAATACAAAAATTAGCTGGGCAGTGGCAGCACCTGTAATCCCAGCTACTTGGGAGGCTGAGGCAGAAAAATCACTTGAACCTGGGAGGCAGAGGTTGTGGTGAGCCGAGATTGCGCCACTGCACTCCAGCCTGTGTGACAGAGCAAGACTCCTCTCAAAAAAAAAAAAAAAAAATCATAAGGCAGGAAAGCATTACTATTCATTAAGTAGAAGTGGATGATCATAAAGGTCTTCATCCTCGCTGCCTTCACATTAAATAATAGACTCAGGAAGAGGAGTGGTTGTTCTTACTGTCTCAGGGGTGGCAGCGGGCAAGAAAATCTGCATAAGTGAACTCTACAGTTCAAACATGTGTTGTTAAAGGTCAACTGTAGTTAAACAACTGAAATCACTAGGTCCCTGTTAGATGGCAGTCATGTCATCAAAAAGTAGTATAGTACTATACTATAGAAATAAGTACGGCCAGGTGTGGTGGCTCATACCTGTAATCCCATAACTTCACTACTTCATGAGGCCGAGGTGGGCAGATCGCTTAAGCTTACAAGTTTGAGAGATCAGCCTGGCCAACATGGTGAAACCCTGTCTCTACTGAAAATACAAAAAATTAGCCAGGTGTGGTAGCATACACCTGTAATCCCAGCTACTCAGGAGGCTGAGGTGGATGAGAATCCGCCTCCAACCTGGGAGGTGGAGGTTGCAGTGAGCCAAGATTGTGTGCCAGCAGATGGTCCTGGGTGATTAGAGGAGGCTGTCTAAAAAAAAAAAAAAAGAAAAAGAAAGTCAAGAATGAAGAACATAAGAATAGTGATACCTATTTCCTACAGTTATTGGGAGGACTAAAATATATATTTATATACATATATATGCATATATATATGCCTGAATATATATATATATATATGCCTGAAACAGAACCTGTCACAGAGTTTGAGCATGTGTAGATTTTAGGTTTTTTTTTGTTTTTTGTTTCCTTGAGACAGAATTCGCTCTGTCACCTAGGCTGGAGTGCAGTGGCTCGATCTCAGCTCACTGCAAGCTCCGCCTCCCAGGTTCACTCCATTCTCCTGCCTCAGCCTCCCGAGTAGCTGGGACTATAGGCGCCTGCCACCATGCCCGGCTAATTTTTTTGTATTTTTAGTAGAGGCGGCGTTTCACCGTGTAAGCCAGGATGGTTTTGATCTCCTGACCTCGGGATCCACCTGCCTCAAGCCCCAAAGTGCTGGGATTACAGGCGTGAGTCACTGTGCCCAGCCACGTTTTATTTTTTTTTGAGATGCAGTCTTGCTCTGTGGCCCAGGCTGGAGTACAATGGCGTGGTCTCGGCTCACTGCAACCTCTGCCTCCTGGGTTCAAGCGATTCTCCCACCTCAGCCTCCCTATTAGCTGGGATTACAGGCACCTGTCATCATGCCTGGCTAATTTTGTATTTTTGTAGAGACAGGGTTTCACCATGTTGGCCAAGCTGATCTTGAACTCCTGACCTCAGGTGATCTGCCCACCTCGGCCTCCCAAAGTGCTAGAAGCGCAGGTGTGAGCCATCGCCTGGCCTAGAGTTTTTTTTTTTTTTTTTTTTTTTTTTTTTTTTTTGAGACGGAGTCTGGCTTTGTTGCCCAGGCTGGAGTGCAGTGGCTGGATCTCAGCTCACTGCAAGCTCCGCCTCCTGGGTTTACGCCATTCTCCTGCCTCAGCCTCCCGAGTAGCTGGGACTACAGGTGCCCGCCACCTCACCCAGCTAGTTTTTTTGTATTTTTTAGTAGAGACGGGGTTTCACCGGGTTAGCCAGGATGGTCTCGATCTCCTGACCTCGTGATCCGCCTGTCTCGACCTCCCAAAGTGCTGGGATTACAGGCTTGAGCCACCGCGCCCGGCCTGGCCTAGTTTATTAAGAATGAAAGTTCTGGCTGGGCGCGGTGGCTCAAGCCTGTAATCCCAGCACTTTGGGAGGCCGAGACGGGCGGATCACGAGGTCAGGAGATCGAGACCATCCTGGCTAACACGGTGAAAACCCGTCTCTACTAAAAAACATACAAAAAAATTAACCGGGCGTGGTGGCAGGTGCCTGTAGTCCCAGCTACTCAGGAGGCTGAGGCGGGAGAACGGCGTGAACTCAGGAAGTGGAGCTTGCAGTGAGCCGAGATCAAGCCACTGCACTCCAGCCTGGGCGACAGAGCGAGACCCCATCTCAAAAAAAAAAAAAAAGAAAAGAAAAGAAAAGAAAAAGAATGAACATTCTTGCAATGAAAGACTTGTACTACAGCCTGGCCAACAGAGCAAGACTCTATCTAAAAAAAAAAAAAAAAAAAAAAACAAAGAATGAAAGTTAGCTGGGCACAGTAGCTGATGCATGTTATCCCAGCAAGGTTGAGGTGGGAAGATCACTTAAGACCAGCCTGAGTAACATAGCAAGACCTTGTCTTTAAAAAAATAAAAAATAAAAATAAAAAGGAATGAAAGTTGCAAGCCAATAAATGGCTTTACTAATCTGCCTCCTCATTTTGTAGTGGGGTCAAAGGTGTTAATGAAGAAGTCCCTGTTCAAAGCCCTCTTGTCTGCCACAATCCCTTTTCCTTGTCCTGTATACTTGTCTCTAATAAGGTTAACATAATCTGATCCTATTAATATTTACTTCATGTTTTCCTGCAGGAAGTTGGAAATCTGTATGACATGTTCCACACTCGCAACTCTTTACACCGTAGAGCTTATCAACACAAAGTTGGCAACATTATTGATACAATGTAAGAAACTTGATTGTCATTTCCCTATAAAATTTTCCTTGATACTTGGCTAGAGTATCATACTAGGCTCAACTAGACATTTCTAGATAAGTTCAAGTAAATATTAAGTGATTAAATTTAAAGTGGTTTCCTTAAAGAAAAAAATCTAGCATAGAGTTAATTTAGTTGGAGGAAAAGGAGAGAAGTGGATAAAGGGACTTAGGCCAGACATGAAGCGGCAGTGCCGAGATCACCCAGGACCTCGGCACAGCTAGTCACTTACGTACCAGATATTAGTCATCAGCAGAATGGGAGGTAGGACGTGAATATTTGAATTCTGAGATTAATGACAAAAATTAACTTTAAGGATTAAGATTAATGTCTATTTGTATCCTGTCAAATATTTATCAAAATTAGTACCAAGTGGTAAAACCAACAGCAATTTTACCTCTTCCTAACCCAGTCAGAACCATAGCAGAAAACTGTACAGCCAGGTCTCCCCGTGACTCCCCGTGACTCAAAGATTTCATGAGGAGTTATCAAACACTGGGTGTGAGTCAAGTTACTACTTCCATGTCTCTAAAATAGCCTTAAATTAATAAACCTTTCATGTTCATTTTCACATTTGTGTTGAGGAAGTTTAGCTTCATTCCTATTTTTACCTATCGTTTGTCATGAGCAGATTACTTGGAGAACATTCTCCTATTTGTATGTTAATACTTTGGTAAGAGTTTTTGTTGTTGTTGTTTTGTAATTCAGAGAGATCTAGGTTCAAAGCCTGGCCCTGTTTCTTCCTAACTTGGTTAAATCAAAATTTACTTCATTTCTGCATCTATAAAATGAGGGCTGAATACACCTACCTTATTGTTGGGAAGATTAAATAAGATGGTGAATGTAAAGCCCTGCCACAGTGCCTGGAACACAGTAAGCACGGTAGCTCACAGGTCACCAAGCACAAATTTGGTATGGTGGAGACACAGTTGTCTTTAGAACATTGTGCCTCATTATTTTATTTCCCTAAAGTAGAAAGATTTCCTTAAGTAAGACATAAGGCAAATATTCAAAATTTCTCATAAGCATAAATTTTTGCAAAATGATTTTTAGGATTACAGATGCTTTCCTCAAAGCAGACGACTATATAGAGATTACAGGTGCTGGAGGAAAAAAGTATCGCATTTCTACAGCAATTGATGACATGGAAGCCTATACTAAGCTGACAGGTAAGAAGTAACAGGTAACATAGATGGTCCATCTCAGATAAACTATAAGATGTCCTTGAATTGCCAGTGAGTTATTTTTCTTTCTTTTATTTTTCATTTTTCAAAATAACTATTTAATTTTAAAAAAAGAAAGAAAGGGTCTCACTATATTGCCCAGGCGTCTCTCAAACTCCTGGGCTCAAGCGATCTTCCTGCCTTGACCTCCCAAAGTGCCAGGATTACAGGTGTGACCCACTGTACACAGCCGGTGGAAGGATTTTAGCTTCCCAAGTAATTATCTCCTTTTGAATTTGAGTTTTATTTCTGTCTTGTACTGATAAAGTGACCTTGATAAAGGGATTTGACCTATCTGAATCTTTCATCTGTAAAATGAGGGTAATGATACCTAGTATATAGTTTTGTTGTGATGTTTAAATGAGGCATAGCACCTAGTATAGACTTGACACATAAGTACTCAATATACATTATTTAACTTTTTTTTTTTTTCCTGCAGATGGAGTCTCGCTCTGTCACCTAGGCTGGAGTGCACTGGTGCAATCTTGGCTCACTGCAACCTCCACCTCTTGGGTTTCAGCAATTCTTCTGCCTCAGTTTCCTGGGTAGCTGGGATTACAAGCATGCCCCACCATGCCCAGCTAATTTTTGTATTTTCAGTAGAGATGGGGTTTCACCATATTGGCCAGGCTGGTCTTGAACTCCTGACCTCATGTGATTCATCTGCCTCGATCTCTCAGAGTGCTGGGATTACAGGTGTGAGCCACCAAGCCTGGCCCATTATTTAACTTTTTAATTTAATTTTTATTTTTTTATTTATTTTGAGACAGGATTTTATTCTGTCATCCAGGCTGGAGTGCAGTGGTGCCATCATAGCTTATTGCAGCCTCAACCTCCCGGGCTCAAGTGATCCTCTTGCCTCAGCCTCAGCCTCAGCCAAGTAGCTGGGACTATAGGCATGTGCTACCACACCTGGGTAATTTTTTCAATTTTTGTAGAGACAGGGTCCCACTATGTTGCCCAGATTTGTCATTGTTTAACTCATACCTGGACTAATATTGAACACCAAAAAACTGACTTGACCATTTAACATTATTTTCATTCCAAAAACACAAGACGCCAGGAACATCTATCCACACTTCTGCAGAAACAAAATCTGCAGCTTAGTGTGGAAAGGTTCTTTTTTTTTTTAGTGTGGGACAGAGTTTTGCTCTTGTAGCCCAGTCGGGAATGCAATGGCATGATCTCGGCTCACTGCAGCCTCCACCTCCTGGGTACAAGTGATTCTCCTTCCTCAGCCTCCCGAGTAGCTGGGATTACAGGTGCCTACCACCATGCCCAGCTAATTTTTTTTTGTATGTTTAGTAGAGACAGGGTTTCACCATGTCAGCCAGGCTGGTCTGGAACTCCCGACCTCAGATGATCCACCTGCCTCGGCCTCCCAAAGTGCTGGGATTACAGGTGTGGGCCACTGCACCCAGCCACAGCTAGTTCTTTAATGTGGGAAAGTATTGACTGAGATAAAGCAAAAGAAGTAAAATGAAAAGTATACACCAGTCAGAGTTCTTAGTTACAAATTATGAAACTGTTTGACTAAAAATAAAATTGGGCCAGGCATGGTGGCTCATGCCTGTAATCCCAGCACTTTGGGAGGCCAAGGAGGGCAGATTACCTGAGGTCAGGAGTTTGAGACCATCCCGTCCAAAATTGTAAAACCCTGTCTCTACTACAAATACAAAGATTAGCCAGGCATGGTGGCGCATACCTGTAATCTCAGCTACTCAGGAGGCTGAGGCAGGAGAATCGCTTGAACCCAGGAGGCAGAGGTTGTAGTGAGCCAAGATCGCACCACTGCACTCCAGCCTGGGCAACAGAGCAAGACTCTGTCTCAAAAATAAATAAATAAACAAAAAATAAAAATAAAATGGGAAAGCAATCACATAGCTTACAGAATCCGTGGAAAGGTTGGAGGCTCTGAAAATGGAGCAAAACAACAGAAGCTAAGTGACCTAAGACACAGCCAAATCACTCTACCATAGCTTCCTGCCTAGAGTGCTACTTCTACGGCAGCTGGATTCTATTTGCTGCACACTGACAAAATGAAACCTAAACTGTCTCTGAAGAACCAGTTTTTTAAATTACCAACCCCATGCAGATTGTTATTTCTGTAAAGTATGATAAAAATGAATTACTAGAAAAATGAAATGGGGGGAAAAGGCATGTAAAATACAAGCCCAAATTTTTATTATTCAACTTGACAGACTTCACATTACCTTTCAGTAAATTCAATCAAAAGATACATAACAGGCCAGACAAGGTGGCTCATGCCTATAATCCCAGCACTCTAGGAGACCAAGGCAGATGGATCGCTTGAGCCCAGGAGTTTGAGATCAGCCTGGGCAACATGCTGAAACCCTGTTTCTATAAAAAATTTAAAAATTAGCCGTGATGGTACATGCCTGTAGTCCCAGCTACTCAGGATGCTGAGGTTGGAGAATCATTGGAGCCCAGGAGGTGGGGGTTGCAGTGAGCCAAGATTGCACCACTGCAGTCCAGCCTGGGTAACAGAGCAAGACCCTGTATCAAATAATAATAATAATAGAGAAAAAAAATAAAAAATTAACTTACAAGAACTATATACATTGTTCTTTAAAAATATATATGTAAGGCTAGGCAGGGTGACTCATGCCTATAATCCCAACACTTTGGGAGGCTGAGGCAGGCGGATCACTTGAGGTCAGGAGTTCAAGACCAGCCTGACCAACATGGTGAAACCCTGTCTCTACTAAAAATATAAAGTATTAGCTTGGCGTGGTGGCAGGTGCCTATAGTCGCAGCTACTCAGAGACTGAGGCACGAGAATCACTTGAACCCAGGAGGTGGAGGTTGCAGTAAGCCAAGATCGCACCACTGCATTCCAGCCTGGATGACAGAGCGAGATTCCATCTCAAACATAAAATAAATAAATAAATAAATAAATAACATAAAAGTAAAAAAAAAAAAAAATTGAACAAGTTGAGGATACTTTTAATATTCATTCATAATAATGCAAGTGATGCCACATTTTAAAAAGTCAGCTGGGCACGGTGGCTCACTCCTGTAATCCCAGCACTTTGGGAGGCCGAAGCGGGCGAATACGAGGTCAGGAGTTTGAGACCAGCCTGGTGCCTGTAATCCCAGCTACTCCGGAGGCTGAGACAGGAGAATCATTTGAACCCAGGGGGCGGAGGTTGCAGTGAGCCGAGATCGCACCATTGCACTCCAGCCTGGGCAACAGGGTGAGATTCTGTCTCAAAAAAAAAAAAAAAAAAAAAAAGTCATCTTTATCCAGGTGTAGTGGCATGTGTCTTTAGTCCCAGCTGTTCAGGAGACTGAGGCAGGAAGATTAATTTTTTCAAATTATATTTACATTTAAACTAGCTTTTGATTTAGCTGGGCATGGTGGCATGTGCCTGTAGTCCCAGTTACTCAGGAGGCTGAGGCAGGAGGATTGCCTGAGCCCAGGAGGTCAAGGATGCAGTGAGCCATAATCATATGCCACTTCACTCCAGCCTGATGACACAGCGAGACCCTGTCTCAAAAAAAAAAAAAAAAAAAAATTTAGCCAGGTATGGTGGTGCACATCTGTAGTCCCAGCTACTCAAGGGCTAAGGCAGGAGGATGCCTTGAGCACAGGACTTTGATGCTGCAGTGAACTATGATCACACCACTGCACTTCAGCCTAGGCCACAGAACCTGACCTTGTCTCCTTAAAAAGAAGGAAAAAAAACAAAGAAAAAGGCCAGGTGAAGTGGCTCACACCTGGAATCCCAGCACTTTGGGAGGCTGAGGCGGGTAGATCACTTGAGGCCAGGAGTTTGAGACCAGCATGGCCAACGTGGCAAAACCCAATCTCTACTGAAAATACAGAAATTAGCTGGGCATGGTGGCACACACCTGTAGTCCCAGCTACTCAGGAGGCTGAGGCAAGAGAATCACTTGAACCTGGGAGGCAGAGGTTGCAGTGAGCCAAGATCACACCACTGCATGCCAGCCTAGGTGACAAAGCAAGACTCTGTCTCAAAAAAAAAAAAAAAAAAAAAAAATTGCACAGGGATATATATATGGAGAAAATACATGCAGAAAAACATTAACAATTGTTGAATTTAAGTGAAGGATATTTCATTTTGAAATTTTTCAAAATAAAAATTGGGAGAAAATGAAAGAAAGGAAAAACATTTCTTCTACTCTCATCATCAAATGGGACACTTAAAAAATCGTTGTTTTATTATTATAGAAATTTACAAAGCCACGTACCTGTCACTTAGCTTCAACAGTTATCAACACATGGCAGTTTTGCCTCATCTCCTCATCTACCCACTCATGTCAAACACTGGACTATTTTGAAGCAGATCCTAGACATAATTTTGCTTGTAAATATTTCAGGACCGTTCTCTTTTTTTTTTTTTTTTGGAGATAGTGTCACTCTGTCACCCAGGTGGGAGTGCAGTGGCGCCATCTCGGCTCACTGCAACCTCCACCTCCAGGGTTCAAGCAATTCTCCTGCCTCAGCCTCCTGAGTAGTTGGGACCACAGGCATGCGCCGCCATGCCCAGCTAATTTTTGTATTTTTGGTAGAGGCAGGGTTTTGCCATGTTGGCCAGGCTGGTCTCGAGCTCCTGACCTCAGGTGATCCACCTGCCTCGGCCTCCCAAATTGCTGGGATCACAGATGTGAGCCACAGTGCCTAACCACCATTCTCTTTTAAAGACAAAATAAAACATGTCAACAATAAATCCATACACCTTTATGTACGCATCACCCAGCTCAGCAGTCATCAACTCCAATGCAGTCTTATTTCTCTCTATCCTTCCCCACGCTCCGGATTACCTGGAATTAAATCCAAGTCATTGACAGGAACTTTTATTTTTGAGACAGAGTCTCACTCTTGTTGCCCAGGCTTGAGTGCAATGGTGCAATCTTGGCTCACTGCAACCTCCACTTTCCAGGCTCAAGCAATTCTCCTGCCTCAGTCTCCTGAGTAGCTGGGATTACAGGTGCCCGCACCCAGCTAATTTATTTTGTATTGTTAGTAGAGACGGGGTTTCACCATGTTGGACAGGCTGGTCTCAAACTCCTGACCTCAAGTGATCCGCCCGCCTCAGCCTCTCAAAGTGCTGGGATTGCAGGCATGAGCCACTGTGACTGGTCAACTGGAACAGTTTTAAAAGGTTTTTTCACTTAAGTATTTTAAAAAATTTTCTCATATTGCCAAAATAATAATGTACCTGCCTGTTAAGATCATTTCAGTAGAATAGCACTATGTAATTCTTTAACTCTGTGTTTTTATTTTAATGTAACTGAAATGTCATCAAATTGGCAGATAACATTTTTCTGGAGATTTTATACTCTACTGATCCCAAATTGAAAGACGCACGAGAGATTTTAAAACAAATTGAATACCGTAATCTATTCAAGTATGTGGGTGAGACCCAGCCAACGGAACAAGTAAAGATTAAAAAGGTGAGTTATCAGGCATCTTTCCATTAGTGAAAGGTTACCTCTGTCCTCCAAGAGGAAACCACTAACCTATCATGATACTATGACTCTGTACTAAGTGCTTTACATTTACTCTCATTTAATCTTTACAGCAGTGCAGGGGTCTTAGGCCTGTTTTACAGATGGAGAAACTGAGGCTTCACTGAGATTAAATAACTTGCTCATGAAAGCATATTTAGCCAGGATTCAAAAGCCAGGTCTAACTTAACTCCAAATCTTTGCTCTCATCCAGGAAGTGAGAGTGGGTCTCTAATTTTGGCTAGATTCAAGCATGGGAAAATGAATATAAGGGAAAGGGACCTCCAAAGAAAGTGCCTGCATGGGCTTCATTGAGGCTGTGGTGACCTGTTGTAATGACTTGGTTCCTTCACAGGATATCAGTCTCCCAGATGGCACACACCTGTCTTCTTTAACTCAAAATATCTATTTTCACCTCCTACTTGTTGAAGAGTTTTCTCTTTGCCAGAAAGCTATAACACAAGTCATACTTATAACCACATCCTACCTCAATAATTTCTTGGGTTATACTTCCTGTTGTTGTACTAATAGGTTAATGCCACTTTTTTTTTTTTCAAAATGTGAATTTTTTTTTTTTTTTTTTTGACAGAGTCTCACTTTGTCACCCAGGCTAGAGTGCAGTAGTGTGATCTCAGCTCACTGTACCCCCCACCTCCTGGATTCAAGCAATTCTGCCTCAGCCTCCTGAGTAGCTGGGATTATAGGCACCCGTCACCATGCCCAGCTAATTTTTGTATTTTTAGTAGAGACGGGGTTCCACCCCGTCTGGTCTTGAACTCCTGACCTCATGATCCGCCCACCTCAGCCTCCCAAAGTGCTTGGATTATAGGCGTGAGCCACTATGCCTGGCCACTTTTCACAATTTTTTATAAAAATTGCTCTATTTGTTTAATGGGTGACATTGGTAGGAGCTATATTTGTTTTTGGTTTTTTTTTGTTTTTTTTTTTTTTTTTTGAGACGGAGTCTCGCTCTGTCGCCCAGGCTGGAGTGCAGTGGCCGGATCTCGGTTCACTGCAAGCTCCGCCTCCCGGGTTTGCGCCATTCTCCTGCCTCAGCCTCCCGAGTAGCTGGGACTACAGGCGCCCGCCACCTCGCCCGGCTAGTTTTTTGTATTTTTTAGTAGAGACGGGGTTTCACTGTGTTAGCCAGGATGGTCTCGATCTCCTGACCTCATGATCCGCCCGTCTTGGCCTCCCAAAGTGCTGGGATTACAGGCTTGAGCCACCGCGCCCGGCCAGGAGCTATATTTGTTAAGGATATCTCTAATCATTTTTCTTAGTTAGGTGCCATTTTCTTAAAGAGAACCTGTTTGTGGCATAAAGGCTTAATGATGAAAAATGGATTCCAACATGGGGAGTCTTGTGTTTTCCAGGAGGACTATGAATCTCTTCCAAAAGAGGTTGCCGCTGCTAAACCCAGAGAATTGCTGGAAGTAAAACTGGAGGCTGAAGATTTTATAGTGGATGTAAGTAATTAGTCCAGTAATAAACTGAGTGAATAATTTTTTAAAGATAAAGCACTCACCATTATAAAAGTAGTACGTGTTCATTATAATTACTTAGAAAAATGCAGAAAGATAAAAGGAAGTCATCTGTGCCCTTACAAAGAGAACCAATATTATTAACCACAAAAAAATTTTATTTGTGATATTTTGCCATTATTTTTAATATAATTGTGGTCATGTGATTACATTGTTTATATTAAAAATTTTTAATTACACAAGTAACACATTTTAATTTATTTTTTTTGTTGTTGCCTGCATACAAACACAGAGGAAAAAGTTGTAGGACCAGGCACTGTGGCTCACGCCTATAATCCCAGCACTTTGGGAGGCCAAGGTGGGTGGATCACCTGAGTCAGGAGTTCGAAACCAGCCTGGCCAACAAGGCAAAACCCCGTTTCTAGTGAAAATACAAAAAAATTAGCCGGGCTTGGTGGCTCACGCCTATAGTCCCAGCTACTCGGGAGGCTGAGGCAGGAGGATTGCTTGAACCCAGGAGGCAGAGGTTGCAGCGAGCCGAGATCACACCACTGCACTCCAGCCTGAGCAGCAGAGTAAGACTCTGTCTCCAATAGAAAAAGAAAAAGAAAAAAAAAAGAGCTGGGCACAGTGGCTCATGACTGTAATCCTAGCACTTCGGGAAGCTGAGGCGGGTTGATCACAAAGTCAGGAGATTGAGACCATCCTGGCCAACATGGTGAAACCCCCATCGCTACTAAAAATACAAAAATTAGCTGGGTGTGGTGGTATGTGTCTGTAGTCCCAGCTACTCAGGAGGCTGAGGCAGGAGAATCACTTGAACCCGGGAGGTGGAGGTTGCAGTGAGCCGATACTGCGCCACTGCACTCCAGCCTGGACGACAGAGCTAGACAGCACTGCACCTCAGGCCAATAGTCTCAGCAGATTACACCCTGGACCTTATCAACATTCAAAACTGCCCTCCCTGTAAAATCACTAGTTTAAACATACTTTTCTCACAAACCCCTTTCCTCCTCATCCACGTTTTCCTAGCTCATCAGGACCTCTAGTTTATTGTGTCCTCACTTTCTTCGAGCTTGTCAGCGGCCTTCTATCTTCATTTCTCTCCACATGTAGGCCGGGTGCAATGGCTCACGCCTATAATCCCAGCACCTTGGGAGGCCAAGGAGGGTGAATCACTTGAAGTCAGGAGTTCGAGACCAGCCTGGCCAACACAGTGAAACCCCATCTCTACTAAAAATACAAAAAATTAGCCAGGCGTGGTGGCGCACGCCTATAATCCCAGTTACTTGAGAAGCTGAGGCAGGAGAATCGCTTGAACCCAGGAGGCAGAGGTTGCAGTGAGCTGAGATCACACCACTGCACTCCAGCCTGGGCGACAGAATGAGACTCCATCTCAAAAAAAAAAAAAAAAGTATCTTGGATATTGTGATACAGTAATTCACTCATTTTTCTGCAATTACCCTCAACGTTCTTTTCCTTCTTTGCATCTACCTAGCAGAAGGCCATACAACCTAGATGAATCAAATCTAAACATCTCCACACCTATACCTGGACACATAAATGCTCCTGGATACCATCACCGTACAGGCATATCTATAAATTCCCGGTCACGAAACTAAGCTTGGCCTTATGGCAGGCTTAGTGTGATTCTCCCAGTCTCTAATAATCATTTCAGGCCAGGCACGGTGGCTCACGCCTGCAATCCCAGCACTTTGGGAGGCTGAGGCGGGCAGATCACCTGAAGTCAGGAGTTCGAGACCAGCCTGGCCAAAATGGCAAAACCCCATCTCTACTAAAAATACAAAAATTAGCCGGGCATGGTGGTGGGTGCCTATAATCTCAGCTACTCAAGGAGGCTGAGGCAGGAGAATCACTTGAACCTGGGAGGCGGAGGTTACAGTGATCTTGCCAAGATCCTGCCACTGCACTCCAGCCTGGGCAACAGAGCAAGACCCCCATCTCAAAAAGTAATACTAATAATAATCATCATCATCATTTCAAACTGTCCTCCCTCCTCGCAGAACTCCAACCATGCTTCCCACCTCCAGCTATATTCACCCTCATGAATAACCCAACCTTTGACTCTTATTTCCAAGATAAACTATAGGCCATTAGGTAGCAACTCCTTACACCTTTCTCACCAAAGAAACAAGCCTGCCTCCATCTGCAACTGTATTCAGTATTCCCATTTGTATACTGGGGAAACAGCTTTGTTCTTGTCAAGGGCTTAGGGTAATTCTACTTGTGTTCTAGAGAAGTGTTGTCCCATAGAACTTTCTGCAGTGACAGAGATATTCTTGGTCAGTGCTGTCCCTTTTCATAGCCACTAGCTGCATGCGGCTGTTGAGCACCTGAAATGTGGTTGCTGTAACTGAATAACTTCATTTTTATTGTATTTAGTGTTATTTGTTTATTTTTTAGAGACAGGGTCTCACTCTGTTGCCCAGGCTGGAGTGCAGTGATATAGTCACAGCTCATTATAACCTCAAACTCCTGGGCTCGAGCGATCCTCCCACCTCAGCCTCCTGAGTAGCTAGGACTACAGACACATGCCACCATGCCCAGCTAATTTTTAAATTTTTTGTATAGATAGGGTCTCACTCTGTTGCCCAGGCTGGTCTCAAACTCCTGGCCTCAAGCAATCTTGCTGCCTTAGCCTCCTAAAGTGCTGGGACTACAGGCATGAGCCACTGCACCCAACCAATGTTAGTTTAAACTTTTGTTTATTTTGAGACAGGGTCTCTGTCTGTGTCCCAGGATGAAGTGCAGTGGCATGATCATGGCTTGCTGCAGCAAAACCCCATCTGTACCAAAAACACAAAAATTATCCAGGTGTGGTGGTGCACGCCTATAGTCCCAGCTACTCAGGAGGCCAAGATGGGAAGATCGCTTGAGCCCAGGAGGTGGAGGTTGCAGTGAGCTGATATCGCACCACTGCACTCTAGCCTAGGCGACAGAGCAAGAGCCTGTCTCAAGAAAATCATGAACACCACACTGCTCTTCACCCCTCTCCTCTTTTTCAGGGTCAGACTCATCTTCCCTTACCTTTCTAAGGTACCAAATTCCTCTCCAGGTACTTCTTTCTTGCTGTCTTTTTTTCCTTTATGTTTTTATTTTATGTATTTTTTTAAAGTGACAAATAATAACTGTCCCCTTTTCATGGGGTACATAGTGTATATAAATGTCTGATGATCAGATCAGGGCAGTTAGCATATGCATCATCTAAAACATTTATCATTTCTCTGTGTTGGGGACATTTAATATTTTCCTTCAAGCTATTTAAAACTATGTAATAAGCCGGGCACGGTGGCTCATGCCTGTAATCCCAGCACTTTGGGAGGCCAAGGCAGGTGGATCATGAGGTCAGGAGATCGAGACCTTCCTGGCCAACATGGTGGAACCCTGTCTCTACTAAAATAAAATTTAAAAAATTAGCCAGGTGTGATGGCATGCGCCTGTTGTCCCAGCTACTTGGGAGGCTGAGGCAGGAAAACTGCTTGAACCTGGGAGGCGGAGGTTGCAGTGAGCCGAGATCGAGCCACTGCATTCCAACCTGGCGACAGAGAGACTCCATATCAAAAATAACAAAAAAACTGTGTAATAGGTTACTGTTAACTAGGCCGGCCATGGTGGCTCATGCCTGTAATCACAGCACTTTGGGAGGCCGAGGCAGGTGAATCACTTGAGGCCAGGAGTTTGAGACCAGCCTGGTCAACATGGTGAAACCCCATCTCTACTAAAAATACAAAACTTAGCTGGGTGTGGTGGTGCATGCCTGTAATCCCAGCTACTTAGGAGGCTGAGGCAGGAGAATCACTTGAACCCAGGAGGTGGAGGTTGCAGTGTGCCGAGATTGTGCCACTACAGTCCAATCAGAGCAACAGAGCAAAGCTCTATGTCAAAACAAAGGAAATTACTGTTAACTATAGTCGTAGTCATCCTATAGAACTATAGAACCCTAGAACTTACTCCTCCTATCTAGCTGTAATTTTGTTTTCTTTAACATCTTGCCTCCTCTGAACGCCAAACTTCTAAGAGTTGCCTTCTCTTACTTTTTTTTTTTTTTTTTTTTTTGAGGCAGAGTCTCACTGTGTCGCCCAGGCTGGAGTGCAGTGGCCCAATCTTGGCTCACTGCAACCTCCACCTCCTGGGTTCAAGCGATTCTCCTGCCTCAGCCTCCTGAGTAGCCAGGACTACAGGTGTCTGCCACCACATCCAGCTAATTTTTGTATTTTTAGTTGAGATGGGGTTTCACGACATTGGCCAGGTTGGTCTTGATCTCCTGACCTTGTGATCCACTCGCGTCGACCTCCCAAAGTGCTGGGATCACAGGCATGAGCCATCACGCCTCTTACATTTCTGTTTCTCATTTTCTCCGGAACCTTTTTCTCTGTTGCCATCACTATACTCTCTCCAGGATCTCCAGTGACTTCAGAGTTGCTAAATCCAGGAGATAGTTTCAGTACTCTCTGCCTCTGAGCTGTTTCTTCTGCCTGCAATTCTTTTTCTTCTGCCTGCAATTCTTTTTCTTCCCACCTAAGCCTGTTTGTTTCTTGCTCACTTAGTAAAGTCACTTTCCCGGGAAAATGTTTTCAGTCATTCTCCGGGCACCCTAGGCTACATCAGGTACCCTGTTAGAACATTTCAAAGCACCCTTTGCTTTTCAACTGTGGTTGCATACTTTTATAATTATTTGTTGAACTTCAATCTAGGGCTGCCTGGTTTGTGGGGGCTAGAATTTTCTTTACTTATTTATTTTTGGAGGCAGAGTCTCGCTCTGTTGCCTAGGCTGGAGTGCAGTGGCGCAATCTCAACTCACTGCAACCTCCGCCTGCCAGGTTCAAACAATTCTTGTGCCTCAGCCTCCCAAGTAGCTTGGACCACAGGTACATAACACCATGTCTGGCTAATTTTGTTTTGTTTTGTTTTGTTTTGTTTTGTATTTTTGGTAGAGACAGTGTTTCACCATGTTGACCAGGGTAGTCTCGAACTCCTGGTCTCAAGTGAGCCACTGCGTTCCGTCTGGGATTTTATTTTAAAGTGTCCTTGTTGTACCTCTAGTGTCTACCTGTATCTGTCACATAGCAGGGATTGAGTTTACACCATACTTAGATTGAACACACAAGTACATTTCCCATTCTTCCCCAGATTTCAATACCAAATCCCTAAGAGTGGTCATGAACCAGTTATTTTTATTCCATCACGAGTCACCTTATCAACATTCTTACTTCCGAATCCCCAGAAGGCTCTGTTCTATTTCTTTTTCTTTTCTTTTTTTTTTTTTTTTTTTTGTCGGGGGAACACAATCTCACTCTGTTGCCAGGCTGGAGTGTAGTGGTGCAATCTCAGCTCACTGCAACCTCCACCTCCCAGGTTCAAGCAATTCTCCTGCCTCAGTCTCCCGAGTAACTGGGGTTACAGGCGCATGCCACCATGCCCAGTTAATTTTTGTATTTTTAGTAGAGACGGGGTTTCAGTATGTTGGCCAGGCTGGTCTCGAACTCCTGACCTCATGATTTACCTGCCTTGGCCTCCCAAAATGCTGGGATTACAGGCCTGAGCCACCGTGCCCAGCCTCTGTTCCATTTCTTGTTATGCTTCTACAGCCCTGAATTCAGTTCTCCTGGTTGCTATATGATTACTTATGTATTGCTTTTATTTAGGTTATCAACATGGATTATGGAATGCAAGAAAATAATCCAATTGATCATGTTAGCTTCTATTGTAAGACTGACCCCAACAGAGCAATCAGGATTACGAAAAACCAGGTAACTACTTAGGCAAAACAAATATACTGTAATGGCATATAGCAAATCTTTATGGTAAATTAGCATTTTATATGCAAATTAGGTTTTAAGGCATATCTTTACAATTAAAGTGGGTCTGGCACAGTAGCTCATACCTGTAATCCCAGTGCTTTGGGAGGCTGAAGTGGGAGGATCACTTGAGACTGAGAGCTTAAGATCAGCCTGGCCAATAAAGCGAGACCCCATCTCTATAAAAAATAAAAAACTTAGGCATGGTAGCTAATGCCTGTAGTTCCAGCTACTTAGGAGGCTGAGGTGGGAGGATCGCTTCAGCCTGGGAGGTCAAGGCCTCCGTGAGCTGTGATTGTGCCACTGCACTCCAGCCTGGATGACAGGGAGACCTTGTCTCGAAAAAAAAGAAATAGTTAGGAGCCTAGGGACCAGCTGGTATCTCCAATGTGTGAATTCAAGGTGATAGTGAAATCTCTTCATTTTAAAAAGGTTTCACGACTTCTGCCAGAGACATTTGCAGAGCAGCTGATTCGAGTATATTGTAAGAAGATGGACAGAAAGAGTTTGTATGCCGCAAAACAACATTTTGTTCAGTGGTGTGCAGACAGAAATTTCACCAAGCCTCAGGTAGGTGGCCTGTTACTCATAAACTTTGCACAATTTTTTATTTTTAAGTAAAAACCAAAAATAATTCTATCTGCTGAAACGTTCCCATTTAAGTTGTAGTCACTTGGTTATGGTTTTGAAAATAAGGTCTTTCACTTTCTTTCCTTTTAAAATGTCTGAATCTGTGTCAGCCAGTGATTTCTTCCTACAGGAGTTGGGAATGGATACTGTTTAGCATTATTGTCCTAATAATAAAAGATAAAAATGTGAACATGTAAATAATGCTTTCTAATGTTGTTCACCAGTGGCCCTGGAAAGTTGTTCAGTGTCTCCATCTTTCAGAGGTTACCAAAGCTGAGTAGTTAACTTGTTTAACATACAATTGATAGTAGACTTCATGTTTCTAAACCTGGTTACTTCTGTATATTAGTTAACTATTTAAATGATCAAGAATGAGAGTAGAGGGAAAAGGAGCCAAGCCACAGTTGCCAACCCTGTAGAGAATGTTGTTAAAATTGTCTCTTACTGACCTACACATAGTAGGCGTCTGCACAGACAATGTGGCCAGTTGGCATTTATTGACTAAATGAATGAATATAATTGGCAAGCAGGGAAACAGTGCTTTACTGCCTAGTCTGGAACTCTCCCTCACACCTCCCTGTGTGTCAGGTGCTAAAGGGAACAAAGTATAGGGTGAGACATGAAAGCATAGCTCAGGATGTCGGTGCTTTATCAAGTGCCACACGGCATGACCCAGGCAAGATCTCTGAGGATTCAGAGAGTTGGGAGATCTCTGGGAGAAGCCTGGTGAAGGGGCGGGATCTGCTAGATCTAGAAGGCAGGGTTGTTTGGATGAGCAGCAGGGAGAATGAAGGGTATATTTGGCAATGGGAGGAGCATAAATAAAGGCATGAAGCTGGAATGAGCTGAGAGTATTTAGGGGACCATGAGGAGACCTGTCTGTCCAGGGTAGAAAATTATTTTTTTTAATTAATTCATTCATTCATTTTTTTGGGATGGAGTCTTGCTTTGTCACCCAGGCTGCAGTGACAACTGCACTTACTGCAACCTCTGCCTCCCGGGTTCAAGCGATTCCCCTGCCTCAGCCTCCCAAGTAGGCAGGTGCCACAATGCCTGGCTAAATTTTTGAATTTTAGTAGAGACAGGGTTTCATTATGTTAGCCAGGATGGTCTCGATCTCCTGACCTTGTGATCCACCCACCTCGGCCCCCCAAAGTGCTGGGATTACAGGTGGAAGCCACCATGCCCAGCCAGAAAATTCTTACTGTTGAGTGTGGAGAGGTTAAATGGGAAGAGTGGACTGGATTATGGAGAACCTTGGATAATTGGCTAGGAGATTCTTTTCTCCGTACAGTGGGGAGGGGATCACTGAGCACATTCAAGAGTTGCCATGCTCTGTAGGATCTGCCTGAATGTGTGTCAGCTCCAACTAGAGTGAAACCCGAGGGAATAAGAGTAAAATTGTCCCTTGGCATCTGTGGGGAACTGGCTCCAGGACCCCCATAGACCCTACAGATAGAAAAATCCACAGAGGCTCAAGTCCCTTATATAAAATGGTATAGTGTTTGCATATGACCTATGCATATCCTCTTTTATACTTTAAATATCTCTAGATTACTTATAAAACCTACTACAATGTAAATCCTATGTAAATAGTTGTTAATACTGTATTGTTTAGGGAATCATGACAAGAAGAAACTCTGTACATGCTTAGTATAGACACAGGCATCCATTTCTCCCCACCTCACATTTTCTATCTACAGTTGGTTGAAGCTGCCCATGGATGCAGAGGGTCAGCTGTATGTCTCTCCTAGGTACTGTGAAATTAAATCACTGAAACTAAATCACTGAGAACTCCAGCTGCAGATAGACTGGAACTTGGAGAGGCTGGAAACAGAGAGTCAAGAGAGGCTATTAAAGTTTGGCTGTGTCATGATAACTACTATAAATTTGATACATTTACTCACTGAGTGAGTATTTTGCCACGCCCTTGTTAGGTGCCTGGAATAGTACGTAAGATAGAGAGTTCCTAATAACCCATGGATCCCATTCAGGTTGGGGATAACAATCTAGTTGGGGATGATAATAATTATTAATTTTACTCCATAAATTAATAATTATAGGAGCATGGTAAGTACTTTGGGTGTAGGGTGAGTACACAGTCTTAGAGGAGGAAAAACAAGGAGGATTTAACTGGTCTTAGTTGGTCAGGAAAAGCTGATTTAAAGAAGGGCTTATAAACTGAGACCTGAAGGTTGAGTGAGGAGTCATCTGGGTTAAGGGCTGGCAGCAGGAGGTGGCGGTAGGGGAGGGGTTGAGGCATAGACACCACAGGATTAATTCGGAAGATGAGAAAGAATATGGTGCATTTCAGGAAGGAACATAGAGTGTGGAGGTGTCTGGGGCTTTATGCACAGTCCTGTCAGCCAAGAGCAGTAGGGAGCATCGGCACTGAAGGGTTTTAAGCAGGAAAGTGACATATTTGTTTACATTTATAAAATTCACTAGAATTGAAATTAGAATGAGTGGAAATAAAAAAGTTGGCTATATGCTAGGCATGGTGGCTCACATCTATAATCCTAGCACTTTGGGAGGCTGAGGTCGGAGGATTGTTTGAGCCTAGGAGTCTGAGGCTGCAGTGAACTATGATCATACCACTACACTCCAGCCTGGTTGACAGAGCAAGATGCTGTGAGAAAGATAGAAAGAGAGAGAGAGAGAAAGAGAGAAAGAGAGAGAGAGAAAGAAAGAAAGAAAGAAAGAGAGAAAGAGAGAAAGAGAGAAAGAGAAAGAAAGAAAGAAAGAAAGGAAGGAATATAGAGGGAAGGGAAGGGGAGGGGGAGGAGAGGGAGGAAGGGAAGGGGAGGGGAGGAGAGGGGAGGGAAGGGAAGGGGGAAAGAAAGAGAAAAGAAAAGAAAGAAAGAGGCCGGGTGCGGTGGCTCAAGCCTGTAATCCCAGCACTTTGGGAGGCCGAGATGGGCGGACGGCGAGGCCAGAGATCGAGACCATCCCAAGGCGGTCACGTTGAAACCCCATCTCCCACTTCAAAAATACAAAAACTAGCCGGGCGATGTGGCGGGCACCTGTAGTACCAGCTACTCGGGAGGCTGAGGCAGGAGAATGGCGTAAACCCGGGAGGCGGAGCTTGCGGTGAGCTGAGATCCGGCCACTGCACTCCAGCCTGGGCGGCAGAGCGAGACTCCGTCTCAAAAAAGAAAGAAAGAAAGAGAGAGAGAGAGAGAGAGAGAGAGAGAGAGAAAGCAGAAGGGAGGGGGAGAGAGAGAGAGAAGGAAGGAAGGAAGGAAAGGAAGGAAGGAAGGAAGGAAGGGGAAGGAAGAAGGAAGGAAGGAAGGAAGGAAAAAGAAGGGGAGGGAAGGGAGGGGAGGGGGAGGGGAGGGGAGGGGAAGGAAGGAAGGGAAGGGAAGGGAAGGAAGGGAAGGGAAGGGAAGGGAAGGGAAATAGAGATGAGGCCGGGTGCGGGGGCTCACGCCTGTAATCCCAGCACTTTGGGAGGCCGAGGCGGGTGGATCACGAGGTCAGGAGATCGAGACCATCCTGCCAACACGCTTGAAACCCCGTCTCTACTCAAAAAATACAAAAACTAGCCGGGCGAGGTGGCGGGCGCCTATAGTACCAGCTACTCGGGAGGCTGAGGCAGGAGAATGGCGTAACCCGGGAGGCGGAGCTTGCAGTGAGCTGAGATCCGGCCACTGCACTCCAGCCTGGGCGACAGAGCCAGACTCCGTCTCTCAAAAAAAAAAAAAAAAAAAAAGAAAGAAAGAAACATGGGTAGAATAGAGATGAGGTCAGGTGCGGGGCTCACGCTGCTAATCCCAGCACTTTGGGAGGCCGAGGCGGGTGGATCACGAGGTCAGGAGATCGAGACCATCCTGGCTAACACGTTGAAACCCCGTCTCTACTCAAAAAAATACAAAAAACTAGCCGGGCGATGTGGCGGGCGCCTGTAGTACCAGCTACTCAGGAGGCTGAGGCAGGAGAATGGCGTTAACCCGGGAGGCGGAGCTTGCAGTGAGCTGAGATCTGGCCACTGCACTCCAGCCTGGGCGACAGAGCCAGACTCCATCTCAATTAAAAAAAAGAAATAGAGATGAGTTTAAAGACAAATAAAATAAAAACTGTCGATTTTGAAATAGACCTTTAAGAACAAGTATCACAGCAATAGAATGACTTTTTTTTTGAGACGGAGTCTCACTCTGTTGCCCAGGCTGGAGTGCAGTAGTATGGTTTCAGCTCACTGCAAGCTCCGCCTCCTGGGTTGAAGTGATTCTCCTGCCTCAGCCTCCTGAGTAGCTGGAACTACAGGCATGCACCACCATGCCCAGCTAATTTTTGTATTTTTAGTAGAGACAGGGTCTCACCATGTTGCCCAGGCTGGTCTTGACCTCCTGACCTCAAGTGATCCACCTGCCTTGGCCTCCCAAAGTGCTAGGATTACAGGTGTGAGCCACCACACCTGGCCTAAATGATTGCCTTTACTGAGATCAGGAGTTCGAGACCATCCTGACCCACATAGTGAAACCCCATCTTTACTAAAAATACAAAAATTAGCCATGGTGGTGCACACCTGTAATCCCAGCTACTTGGGAGGCTGAGGCGGGAGAATCGCTTGAACCCTGGAGGTGGAGGTTGCAGTGAGCTGAAATCATGCCACTGCACTCCAGCATGGGTGACAGAGCAAGATTCCATCTCAAAAACATAATAATGATAAAATTTTAAAATACCGTTTTTAATGGTTCTGTCAAGTCAGATCCAGTGTGGTTCAACGGAAGAAATTTAACATGGGGGATGAGATACAAAAGTTCTGGCAGAGCTAAATGAGTACAGAGGACGGTGATTCAAAAGCAGGAAGCTGCTACCACCTCTAGGATAGGAGAGACCAAGGGAGCAGGTGGGAGTCCCGGAGCTGGGGCCACCTGCAGAAGCTAGAACCACAGAAGAGTCACTGCCACTGCCACTCGTGCCGGAGGAGGTAGGGAGAGAAATAACCTGATTTCTCTGCCCTCTTCTCACCTCATCTCCCACCAGAGAGACCAAACCTAACTGGAAACCAGCAGGCAAGGGAGCTGAGGAATGTAATTTACCGGAGTGGCTCCAGTGAAACAGAGTAGGGAGAGGAAGAGTAAAGAATGGATCTGAGAGCAAACAGGCAGATGAGGAGCATGAATTCTCCTACCAGCATTGTATTCCTGATACAACAGAAGCTCTCCAAGATCCTGCATCCTCTCGTAACCAAAGAGGATCTACACACAAGTTCAGAGCAGTTTAGCATAGACTCAAGTATTAGGAGGCCTTGCTTCTTCTTACCTCTATGGTTTCAGGTCATTGTATTACCTCCCTTTGGATCTCTCCCTTATTTTGGGTGGAGGAGGTCCTTTGGCTGGAGCCTATGCTGATGGGGCCAACGTTAGAGCTTTGATGCAGAGAAAAATTTAAATTCTGCAGGTACATACTGTCTTTTCTCCCCTTCTTTGCCATCTTGTAGACCTGGGCCATTTATCGCAGAGGGGACCAGGTGAGAGAGAACCTAGGGGTTCAGTGCATCCTGTCTTTCTCCTGGGCAAACAGGACAGGGTTTGTGCTCCGTGAAGGTGTGTGAAGGAGGCCATAGAGGTAGGCAGTGGTATGCTGCTTCCGGTCATCTCTGCAGAGGCCAGTGTCTGTTTTCATGAAGGCTCTTCCTGCATAAGACTGTAATGTTTCTAATTGGTCCCAAGCACAGGGCATAGGTAATTTGGAGTTTCCCTGGAGTGAGGACACCTAGAAGCAATCTATATGCAAGATGAGGATGTGCGCACCTGAGACTTTCACTCACAAATAAGATGATGGAAACTGGCTTTTCTCTGTTCTCTGTTTTTCTCTCTCCTTCTAATAGGATGGCGATGTTATAGCCCCACTCATAACACCTCAGAAAAAGGAATGGAACTACAGGACTTCAGTCCAAAGTCCAACTCGCCTCCGAGAAGCATCCAAAAGCAGACTCCAGCTTTTTAAAGATGACCCAAGGTGAATGTCTGTAGTCGGCTATTTACAAACTCCCTCCCCCGCACAATTCATTTAGGGGCTTCACTCATAGAATTCTGCAAAATTATGATAACTCATGCTTTAATTTTGTAGTTTGAATGTACACACATGCTGAAGCTAAGTAATTTTTAATCAAAGAAATAAGATGGTATTAGGCAAATCTTACTATACTATGAAAAGTATTACCTTGCCTATTTTTAATATTAAAGTCTTTCTCCTTCGGTAGTCTATTTTCTTAGAATAACAACACTTTTATCTACTCTGTACTCTCTTTTTTTTCTTTTTTAAAAGACAAGGTTTTGCTCTGTTGCCCAGGCTGGACTCGCACTTTCCTGGGCTCAAGCGACCCTCCTGCCTTAGCCTCCCAAGTAGCTGGGACTATAGGCACGTGCCACCACACCCAGCTTACTCTGAACTTTTATGACGGATGATTGTTTTTTGTTTTTAATGTAGAAATGAGACAAGGGTACAAATTGGAATTAGAAGTTGACATTGTCATAGACAAACATGGCTAAAAACAAAACATCAAATCCTGCCCCGGTGAAGAGTTCCCTGTCACTTCAAGTTTGAGGATAGTCCTCTTCAAGCATAGGTGAAAAACACCTCCCCTCACCCTTTTAGCCCCCTACAAGGTGCCAAGTTGAGGTAAACAGTTGGAGATGATGGCCAGGAGTGGCCTCCAACACACTGGTGAGAGGCCTGATTAGGTTTTGGGGAAGATCTGGGAGCTCAGGCCTCCTCATGAGTGGAGCCTAAAGCCGCCTCTTGTTGGGAGATCCCTACCCCCAGTGACAGAGGAATCCCCCAAACTAGGCTGTGCCTTGACTCGTGGCGGTTCCAGACCTGGGCAGTGCCTTTGTCTCCTGAATACTCACTCCCCCAGTCCAGAGGGCCTTCCCACTGCCCAGCCTGGAGAAAGCCTCCCCTGACCTGCTCTCTGAGTATCCTGGAGAGCTGGCCAGAGGCCGTCACAGGCACCATCCTCAGAGCTCCTCAGACCTGGGACTTTGTTTTTGCTGGTTTGGTGCATTTTGTGTATTTAAGAGCAAACACTAGCCGGGCGTGGCGGCGTGCGCCTGTAGTCCCAGCTACTTGGGAGGCTGAGGTAGGAGAATCGCTTGAACCCGGGAGGCGGAGGTTGCAGTGAGCCAAGATCACGCCATTGCACTCCAGCCTGGGTGACAGAGTGAGACTCTGTCTCCAAAAAAAAAAAAAAAAAAAAAAAAGTGCAAACACTGCACTGCCTGTGGGGAAATGAGTGACTGCCCAGTGGGTTCCAGGCTCCCCTAGGTAACTTCGTTTTCCCAGCAGTGGAGGGGGCACCACCTTGGTGGGGCAGTGTCCCTGTGCCCAGGGCACACCTTATTCCCAGTTCTATAGCAATTCACCAAGAACAAAGTCTGCAGGGCCAGGTGCGGTGGCTCATGTCTATAATCCCAGCACTTTGGGAGGCCGGGGCGGGCGGATCACAAGGTCAGGAGATAAAGACCATTCTGGCTAACATGGTGAAACCCCGTCTCTACTAAAAATACAAAAAATTAGCCAGGCGTGGTAGTCCCAGCTACTCAGGAGACTGAGGCAGGAGAATGGCATGAACCCGGGAGGCGGAGCTTGCAGTGAGCCGAGATAGAGCCACTGCACTCCAGCCTGGGTGACAGAGCGAGACTCCGTCTCAAAAAAAAAAAAAAAGTCTGCAGTTAGAGCCAAAGCTGGTGGTGGCCAGAGGGTGCTGAAGATGCAGGCTAGTTGGGATAGGAGCCATGAGCCCCGAATGTCTTCCGCTGTGGTGCTCCCCGGACTAAGCCTCCCTGGCACACTGGGAGTGAGGGGCAGCCTGAGCGTGTAGGGGAACTCAGACCACAGGCCAGCAGATTTCCCAGCAGTCTGTCACTAGCCACCGTGTAGCCACATTCTGTTCCGTCCATACTGGGGTGAAGAGTACTTGGAATGTCTGCCATCCTGTATGATCACCCCACCCCCCCCACCCCCCCCCCCACTCCATCCATCAGTAGATAATAGGGGTTGGTTACAATTCATAAGAGAATAGTTAAAACCCTTCTCCTCTCATGCCTACCATGGTACTGAGGCAATCTGTTCACATATGGGCTCAGCGACGCACAAGTGAGGTCAGCCATGGCAGTAGGTCATTCCCATTTTAGCCAAGGTGCCTCAGGAATGTCATATTGTGTTAAAATCATTTTATTCCTGTATATCTTACCTTTAAATCATTGTGATTTACTCTGAGATTCTGTAGTCCTAATACTGTGTCACTGTGCTGTCTGTGAAACAACTTGAATGGATTTTGTTTGCATCTTTTGTTACATGTAAGGCAGCTGTACTTTATGTTCTTTGCAACTGTTTTCATTATGATAACTCTGCACCATTTACAAGGTTACATTTTCCTTAAGAAACATCTTGGCCAGGTGAAGTGGCTCACACCTGTAATCCCAGCACGTTGGGATGCCGAGGTGGGCGGATCACTTGAGGTAAAGAGTTCGAGACCAGCCTGGCCAACATGGCGAAACCCAGTCTCTGCTAAAAATACAGAAATTAGCCAGGCGAAATTGTGGTGGTGTGTGCTTGTAATCCCAGCTACTCGGGAGGCCGAGGCAGGAGAATCGTTTGAACCGGGGAGGTGGAGTGTGCAGTAAGCCAAGATCGCTACTGCACTCCAGCCTGGGAGTCAAGAACAAAACTCTGTCTCAAACAAAAAAAAAAAGAAGGAAAGAAACATCTTCGCTATTTGTATAAAAATGGAAATTTTAACAGCTTAGCCTCTAGAGAGTTACTGAACATGGTTACCCTGGGAATGTAAATAGAACTGCAAATTAAAATGACTGGCCACTTCAACTGGGTAAGGGAAACAGCTGCAATAAAGCTTCGTGAATGTATCTCCATCTTGAAAGTTGTGTTCCACAAAGCTTTCGACCTCTTTGTCTGAATATGCATATTACTCATTTGCTCCTTTCATACCTTCCTCGTGCAATTAAATAGCAGATTCACAAGAACCTGGCACTGGTGGCAGACAAAAGGGCCTCAACGTTCTGCAGCAGGCCAGAGGAGGAATGATGCTGCTAGAGTCTTTATTAGTTCCAGTGCTCAAGCCTGGGTTTCTAAGGTTGGACAATATTCTGTAAGTTAAAATCATTTCCACACATACAGAGTAGAATCCTGTTTCTGTAAGAATACACACACATACATATTCATGGAACATTGTCTGGAAGGATATACATGAAAATGTTAGAGTTGGGGGGGTTGAATTTTAGGTAATTTTCATTTTTTTTAATGTCTTCTGGTTTTTCTACTATAAACATGAATTCGTTGTAGAACCTCTAAAATGATAATGTTCATGAGGCTGGTTTTCCTCATTCAGTAGCTGGCGGGGAACAGCATAGTGAAAGGTCTTCCCTTTGCCCGGAGGCAGGCACTAGCATGGGAAGGGATGCGGATTTTTCTTAGTTTTCTAAGGTCCTGTTAGCTTAGGGTCTCAGTGCTGCTTGGGTAAGGTGTAAGCATCTTTTAATCCTTCAGTCACCTCTGCAAAACAGCAGTGCCTGCCCCCACCTGTATCTTGGGTTCCCAGGCCACAAGGAGGCTGGCCAGCAGCCTCAGCCAACTCTAGGGCCCTTCAGCATCTGTGTTTCGAACAGCACAGGCTGCTGTGTGTCAGGAAGGCCTTGGTGGCATCGTGAGCAGGGCTGAGTACCTGTTGCCGCAGGGCTGTCAGCTGAGAAGCCAGGCCTCCAATCATGAGCAGAGCTGAGTACCTGTTGCCGCAGGGCCGTCAGCTGAGAAGCCAGGCCTCCAGCTCCTGGACGCAGAACTGCTCCCGCCGGGCCAGCACCTCGTTGTTAAAGGTTGCGCAAGGGGAGCTTCCCCCGTGAAACAAGTCTCCATCCAACCATAGCCCAAACCGGCCACTAGAGAAGAGGACAGTCTTGGTGCAGCTTACTCCTGTGTGCTGAAACCCTCAGGCTCTGCCACTGATTGGCCATGCCAATCAGCTCTTGGCCATGCCAGGACGGCAGCCCAGTTTCACCTGTCTTACCTCCCCTTAAAGCAATTTATACTGAATTACTGGGGACTCAGCACATTGTTCCCCATGGGGTTGAGAGTATTTGTTTATTTGTTTGTTTATTTATTTATTGAGACAGAGTCTTGCTTTGTCACCCAGGCTGGAGTGCAGTGGCACAACCTTGGCTCACCACAACCTCTACCTCCCAGGTTCAAGCAATTCTCCTACCTCAGCCTCCCGAGTAACTGGGATTACAGGCCACCCACCACTATACCTGGTTAATTTTTGTACGTTTAGTAGAGATGGGGTTTTGCTATGTTGGCCAGGCTAGTCTTGAACTCTTGACCTCAAGCGATCTGCCTGCCTTGGCCTCCCAAAGTGCTGGGATTACAGGCGTGAGCCACCATGCCTAAGAGTATTTTTTGAACAGTTCAGTATTTTAATAAGTATATACAGTGGCGCAACTGTCACCACAGCCCAGTTTTAGAACATTTGGAGCATTTTTAAGATGGCAATTCTTTTTTTTTTTTTTGAGACGGAGTCTCGCTCTGTCGCCCAGGAGCGCAATGTGCGATCTCAGCTCACTGCAACCTCCGCCTTCCAGGTTGAAGCAATTCTCCCACCTCAGCCTCCTGAGTAGCTGGGACTACAGATGCCTGCCACCATGCCCAGCTAATTTTTGTATTTTTTAGTAGAGACGGGGTTTCACCACATTGGCCAGACTGCTCTCGAACTCCTGACCTCAAGTGATCTGCCCGTCTCATGCCAAAGTGCTGGAATTACAGGCATGAGCCACCGCACCCGGCCAAGATGGCAATTTTTTTTTTTTTTTTTCGGTAGGAGTCTCGCTCTGTTGCCCGGGCTGAAGTGCAGCGGTGCGATCTCGGCTCACTGCAAGCTCCGCCTCCCGGGTTCATGCCATTCTCCTGCCTCAGCCTCCCAAGTAGCTGGGACTACAGGCGCCAGCTACCACGCCTGGCTAATTTTTTGTATTTTTAGTAGAGACGGGGTTTCACCATGTTAGCCAGGATGGCCTCGATCTCCCGACCTCATGATCCGCCCACCTTGGCCTCCCAAAGTGCTGGGATTACAGGCATGATCCTGGCCCAAGATGGCAGTTCTTAATACAAAAATTAGTCGAGCGTGGTGGTGGGCACCTGTAGTCCCAGCTACTCCAGAGGCTGAGGCAGGAGAATCACTTGAACCTGGGAGGGGGAAGTTGCTGTGAGCTGAGATCACGCCACTGCACTCCAGCCTGGGCGACAGAGCGAGACTCTGTCTCAAAAAAAATAAAAACATAAAAATTAAAAATGGCAATTCTTTAACCAAAGCTAGTACATCTCGGGGTGCAAACTCTGAGAGCCCAAATACTTCAGAGCATCCATTCTAGTCCCCTTATTTGATAGAAAACCTCAGCCGGAGCTAGGAAGTGAATTCCTGCAGATCAGCAATGGCTGATGTGTTCTCTGCCAAGCTGCCCCTCAATGGAGGCTTTTCAGGCAGTTGGGAGAGCAAAGAATTTGCCTGGTACTAATCAAGCGATGCTCTCATCCCTGCCCTCAGGATAAGATGCATGCCCCCTGAATGTGAAGGTCACACCAGGATGAGATCAACTTTTTTTTCCTACCTCTCTCTACCCCCTGTCCTCACCGAGGGAGGCTCCTGCAATGAGTTATGTCCCCTGCAATTCCTGGGCTGATGGAAAAACGAGGCACACTCATCTCTTGACGCTAGCCTCATCCAACCATGTGGAATTCCAAAAGTTGCGTACATTCAGACTAAACTGTCGCCAGCTGTAACACTTCGGTGGGGGCACTCATATATCCTTTCTGCTTAATACTGGCTTAGCGTGAGGGTGAGGGGGTTGGCTGGGAGGCTGAGCAATGAAGGGAACAGCCTGAGAGTTCCCACCAGCCTCCCCATTGCATCAAGGGCAGCCTCGCCCAGCAGTTCAGCAGAGGGAAAGGGACCAGAACACAGACCACCCCAAGACTCAGGAGGACTGAGACACTCACCTGCCACTGCCCATCATCAGTGAATCCAAGTCTCCCTTCACAAAGAAAGAGTTGCTTCCAGTCCACTTAAAGACCTAGGTGATAGGGAAAGGCTCAGGTTACTACGGGAGCGAGTCCCGCCCTTGCAGTTTGACCCCGAACCACTGGGTGGCAATGTTGTGGCGGGAACAGCATCCAGGCCGCAGCCGAGCCGCAGGTGGGACTCCGGGTTCAGGGATCTTGGGGTTTCTCTTCTCAGTCTCCTTGGAGTCACCGCCACATGCCCTTTAGTTTGAATTCCTACTGCCTAGAAGCCACTTTGTTCTAGAATAGGACAACAACCTCTGAGGCTTCCTGTTTCCAAAGCTGGAGGGAGGAGGGGAGCAGTCCAGGCCAAGAGTGGGGACTGATACTGCCATTAAGTAACTCATCGTCGCCTCTCACCCGGACAACACCAGCCCGCCTGCACTTCAGCGCTGCCTCACATCCAGCTCATCCACAAGCCTCGCAGCTCTAGACATAGCCTGCCTGGCGCCATTTCTATCTCGTCCTCTGCCTGGATCACAGCCTCCCAGCTGGTCCCTCTGCCTCCACTGTCTGTACCTACAGCCATACCCACACTGCAATCTGCCTGATCTGTTCGACATCCAAATCAGATGTTTCCTCTGCCTAAGTCCTCCAATGGCTTCCCAATGCAGTGGGGATAAAATTCAACTTAACAATGGCCAGAAGTGCAGCCTGGGCCTAGTGCAGTGGCTCATGCCTGTAATCCCAGCAATTTTTTAACTAGCCAGGTGTGATGGTGTGCACCTGTAATCCCAGCTACTCAGTAGGCTGAGGCAGAAGGATCGCTTGAGGCCAGGAGTTTCCTCGAGGTCAGGAGTTCTAGACCAACCAGGGCAACAAAGTAAGACCCTCCCTTATCTCTAAAAAACTTTTTTTCTCTTTCTCTCTTTTGACACGGAGTCTCGCTCTGTCACCAGGCTGGAGTGTAGTGGCGCAGTCTCAGCTCACTGCAACCTCCGCCTCCAGAGTTCAAACGATTCCCCTGCCTCAGCCTCCCAAGTAGCTGGGACTACAGGCATGTGCCACCACGCCTAGCTTTTAGTAGAGACAGGTTTCACCATGTTGCCCAGACTGGTCTCAATCTACTGACCTCATGATCTGCCTGCCTCAGCCTCCCAAAGAGCTGGGATTACAGGCGTGAGTGGTGCCCGGCCCTAAAAAAATTTTTTTAAACCTAGCTGATCATGGTGGTGTGCACCTATAGTCCCAGCTATTAGGGAGGCTAAGGTGGAAGGATCACTTCAGCCCAGGAGTGGAGGCTACGGTGAGCTATGATTGCACCACTGCACTCTGGCATGGGTAACAGAGCAAGACCCCAACTCTAAAAAACAACAAAAAAAAACCTGTCAAAACTTAAAAGTGCAGCCAGCTCTAACCCCTGATTTTCTCTCTGGCCCCTTCTCCCCCTTATTGACTACACATTAGCTACACCAGTCTTTCCATCCCTGGAACACCCAAAGCCCATTCCCATTCCTGCCCTAGAATCCCTCTTCCCAGAATGCTCTTCCCCCAGATCCTCAGAGGGCCCACCTCTCATCCTTCAGCCCAAATGTCATCTCAGAGAAATTTCCTGGACCACCCTATCTGAAGTAGCCCTTTCTCCCAGACCCTGTTTTATTTCTCTTTATTTATATTAAAGACGTGAAGTTCCATGTTTGTGGACCAGCTCAGAGGCCAGTGTGGTTGGAGCAGAGTGAGAGAAAGGAAGAGTAGCAAGAAATGCCATTCAGAGAGAGGCCAGAAGGTGTAGGGACGTAGATCATTGGACACACTTTGGCTCTTCCCCAAGTGAAAGAGGAAGCCAAGGAGTGACATGCTGTGAGTTCTAGCTTCCCCCTACCTTTTTTAAAATTTGTGTTAAGACAGAGTCTCACTCTATCACCCTGGCTGGAGTGCAGTGGCACGATCTCAACTCACTGCAACCTCCGCCTCCTCCAGGTTCAAGAGATTCTCATGCCTCAGCCTACCGAGTAGCTGGGATTACAGGCGCATACTACCATGCCTGGCTAATTTTTGTGTTTTCAGTAGAGCTGGGGTTTCACCATGTTGGCCAGATGGGTCTCAAACTCCTGACCTCAAGTGATCTACCCACCTCGGCCTCCCAAAGTGCTGGGATTACAGGCATGAGCCACCGCGCCCTGCCCTCACTTCCATTTTGAAAGGATCGCTCCAGCTACTGTGCTGACTGAAGTGGAGGCAGTGAGAGACCTTTTAGGAGGCAATAGCAGGGACACACAAGTAGTGATGGTGGCTTGAACCAAGATGCCAGCAAAGGACATGGCAGTGGTGGATGCCGAATATAGAGAGAAGGCAGAGCTGTCAGGATTCGCTGACAGTTCAGATGTGAAGTTGTGAAAGACAGTTAAGGAGGACTTCAAGACTTTCTATCTCAGCAGCAGGAGAGGGAGATGCCATTCATTTGATGGGGGAAGACAGCAGGAGGAGGAGGCTTTGTGTGGGAAAGCCAGGAGGTCTGTTTGGGACATGATAAGCTGGAAATGCCATGTTTGGGGCCAGATGCAGCGCTTATACGTGTAATACCAGCACTTTGGGAGGTGGAAGCAGGCAGATAACTTGAGCTCAGGAATTCAAAACCAGCCTGGGCAACATGGTGAAACCCCATCTCTACAAAAAATACAAAAATTAGCCAGGTGTGGTGGCATGTGCCTGTAGTCCCAGCTACTTGGGAGGCTGAGGCAGGAGGATCAGTTGAGCCCAGGAGGTGGAGGCTGCGGTGAGCTGAGATGGCGCCACTGTACTCCAGCCTAGGTGACAGAGTGAGACTCTGTCTCAGAAAAAAAAGAGAAAAGAAATGCCATGTTTGAGATGCAGAGAGAGATGATGGGCAGTTGTTGGATATATGTGAGTTTGGAGTCAGGGAAGAGGCCATTAGCATGCAGGCAGCATGAAGAGCTGTGGGAATGGATGAGACCACAGAATAAATGAGGGCCACTAGAGAAGATATGAGAACCAACACCTGAGCTCTGATGTTGAAAGACTGGGGAGATGAGGAGGAACCAGCAAAAGATTCTACTAGGAGCTGTCAGTGCAATGGAAGGAAAATTCTAGACCTTTAGAACTAAGACTTAAGTTCAGGAAGGCAAGTGGTGATGAGTAGTACCAGCACTGGCTCACCATGCCTCCCTCACCCTTTCCTGGATCCTGGGAAGCTTGATGGAGCCCCTCCAGCTGATGGCAGCAATGCAATAGATATGGTATATTTTGCCTTTAGCAAAGCAGTCCATAGCTCCTTGTGAACTCCCTGTCATGAGACCAGATGACTGTGTGATTGGATGTGTCTGAAGGAATCTTAGTCTGTGCATTGGAGAGATCTCTAATAGCAAAATACCTGGAACGACTTCATCCATTGAACAATTTTAAAAAAATTTTTTTTAAGAGACAGCATCTCACTCTGTTGCCCAGGCTGGTCTTAAACTCCTGAGCTCAAGCAATCCTCCCACCTCAGTCCCGCAAAATGCTGGGATTACAGGTGTGAGCCAGCCACCGCACCTGGTCATTTTTTGTTTTGTTTTTGTTTTTCCCTTTTTGTGGAAAATAGCATCTTGCTCTGTTGCCCAGGCTGGTCTTAAACTCCTGGGCTCCAGCGATCCTCCTGCCTCTGCCTCCCTAAGAGTGCTGGGATTATAGGCATGAGTCACGGTGCTTGGCCTGGCCATTTTTACTAGTAGTAAAAATAGTCTGCTCTGTGCCAAGCAGGTACTGCTCAGTAGCTTTAGTGGATAAATAACCCAGAGGCAGGAAATCTTTGGATGGAAGGCGTTTGGGACTATTATTCTCACCCAGCTCCTGGGCAGGTCGAGCCACCCGACTATACCAGTCATCTTGTGCCTTTCACTCTCCCACTCGTCATTAATTAGAAACTTGAGCTCTGACTCACCACCCCCAACCCTTCACAGCTCTCTGGTAAACTTTACTATCCACGTGGACCTGTCCAGGTCCTGCCCTAGAATGGGTTTCTGCTGCTGTCTTCCATGGTCACATCTGAGAATTTGTCCTCAGCAAGGATGGCAGGTGGCTCTTCCACAGCCTATTTCAAATGTCCCTCTTTCTGTCTGCTGTATCCTGTCTTCCAACACATTGTCCAACTGCTGTCACTGCTCCAAGCCTTTGACGTCAGGGAGACCTCTCAGGCCGAGCCCACCTTTGCCTTGGTGTCCTGCAGTGCCCCCTGCTTCCCTCCCCTCCTTCTCCAGTCTAGGTTCTGTGGTCCATGTTGTATTGTCACTCCCTTCAACTTCCTTTCCCTCTCTGCCGCTGTTAAACCAGTTGGGCAAAACCCCTAACCCTGGCTGCCCGCTCTCTGCAGTCCACTCTCTGGTGTCCCCTCTCTGCAGGCCTGCGCCGAGCAGCCGATGCTGCTAAAGAAGCAGGCACAGAAGTGGCGGCACCCTAACCTCACAACCCAAGCCGCGCCACTCGTACGGCCCAGCCGCACTTCTGCTGCTCCGGTGTTCTCCAGCAGGCTTCCCTCCCTTCCCACACCTGTGATGACTGCGATACCGATCCTTCACCTTCCTCCAGCAATGACCTCACCCTGTATTTCTTTTTTTTTTTTTTTAGAGACAGGGTCTTGCTCTGTTGCCCAGGCTGGAATGCAGTGGTGCGATCACGGCTCACTACAGCCTCAACCTTCCAGGCTTAAGTGATCCTCCTGCATCAGCTTCTCAAGTAGCTGGGACTACAGGTGTGCTCTACCGTGTCTGGCTAATTTTTGTATTTTTTGTAGAGATGGGGTCTCACTATGTTGCCCAGGCAGGTCTTGAAATCCTAGACTCAAGCAGTCCACCTTCGTTGGCCTCCCAAAGTAGGATTACAGGCATGAGCCACGGTGCCTGGCCCCCATACTTCCTGAGAAGCCACTGGCTGTGTCCTTCTTCGTCGTCCTGCCACCACGCCCTCAGGTCTATCTTGTCTTCCCAGCCTGTGCCTGGAAAGCATGGTCTTCCCTCCTCTCAGCCAGTCAGCGGTTGCCAGAGACCCACCAAGTATGTTTTGTTTTGTTTTGTTTTGTTTTGTTTTGTTTTGTTTTTGAGACGGAGCCTTGCTCTGTCGCCCAGGCTGGAGTGCAGTGGCTCTATCTCGGCTCACTGCAAGCTCCGCCTCCCGGGTTCATGCCATTCTCCTGCCTCAGCCTCCCGAATAGCTGGGACTACAGGCGCCTGCCACCACGCCCGGCTAATTTTTTGTATTTTTAGTAGAGACAGGATTTCACCATGTTAGCCAGGATGGTCTCGATCTCCTGACCAAGTGATCCACCCGCCTCGGCCTCCCAAAGTGCTGGGATTACAGGTGTGAGCCACCGCGCCCAGCCACACCCACCAAGTATGTTTTAAATGCAGGACAGACAGGTCAAGGGGGATGCTCTGCCCACCACTGCCCTGCTTATTACCCCTGTGGAAAGATAGTGGCACACCAGGCAGCCCATCGTGGAGGATGCAGCTGGGGGCCACTGGGACCCCAGGAGCTTTGTCTCGCCACACGCCCCACTCCCCCCACGGAAGTTTGGGAACATCACCTTCAGCTGTGGTGAGAAGGAGAAGAGGAATGTCTCGCCGGTACCATAGAAGCCTTTGCTGAGTTGGATAGCCGAGGAGGAGAAGGCTCCAAATATCTGGAAAGCAGAAGTTGCAGTCTGCAGCTGGAAGGGAGCTGGGGGTCCTCTGACGACCCTCATTCTTCGGGTTTAGTAATACAGGCTCATCCTAGAGGGCACCTGGGAAGCTGGGGCAGAGCTGGGGCATGGGGGCTCCACACCCAAGAGCAGGAATCCTTACGCATCCTTTCCCTTAATGCTCCCCAAGGAAGAGGTCCTGCTGGCTTCCTCCTCTGGGCAGTCAGGGCCCTCCTTTTTCTTAAATATACTTACTCTAGACTGAGTGCAATGGCTCACGCCTGTAATCCCAACACTTTGGGGAGACTAGGGTGGGCTGATCACCTGAGGTCAGGAGTTCGAGACCAGCCTGGCCAACATAGCGAAATCCTGTCTCTACTAAACATACAAAAATTAGCCAGGTGTGGTGGTGGGCGCTTGTAATCCCAGCTACTTGGGAGGCTGAGTTAGGAGAATCGCTTGAACCCAGGAGGTGGAGGTTGCAGTGAGTCGAGATCACGCCACTACACTCCAGTCTGGGTGACAGAGCGAGACTCCATCTTAAAAAAAAATTTTTATATATATATATATATGTGTGTGTGTGTATATATATATGTGTATATATATTCATTCTATGCAAGTAATCACGGAAAAAAGTAGCAGTTATAGAGAAGCAAAATAAAAAAAGTAAAGCCATCTCCCAATGCCCCTCATTCTTCCCCAAGATAATCACTCTTAATATTTTGGTATATTTCCTTCTGACATCAGTTTAATGCGTGTGTGTATGTGTGTGTGTGTGTGTGTATATATATATATTTTTTTTTTTTTTTTCTTCAGACAGGGTCTCACTCTGTCACCCAGGCTGGAGTGCAGTGGTGTGATCATGGCTCACTGCAGCCTCAACCCCCCTACAATGCCCCCAGCTGCAGTTGCTGGGACTATAGGTAAACACCACCACACCTGGCTAATTTTGTTGTTGTTGTTTGTTTTTGGTTTTGGTTTTTTTTTTTTTTTTTTAGAGACAGGGTCTGGCTATGTTGTCCAGGCTGGTCTTGAACTCCTGGACTGAAGCAATCCTCCTGCTTCAGCCTCCCAAAGTGCTGGGATTACAGGTGTGAGCCACCATGCCCGGCAACCCCCACACTTTCTTCTACTTCTGAGGAGGATGAAGATGCAGTTTTACGGTCAAACGATTATTTGCTTAATTGTCTGACCCTTCCCCTATTAGACCATTAGCTCCAAGAGAGCTGGGGCTGCTTCTGGGTTGATTCTGCTCTATCCTACCTCTCACCTGGCACACAGAAGGCGCCCCATGTAGATGTGTTGAATGCATAAATCGGGGAATGGCTCTGAGTGGGCAGGTCCTATTGCCATCATCAGTGTCCATTGTAGGTGACTTAGTCTTTCACTCTGTCTGCTTGTCCCTGAGCTGCCCTGGGTCAGGGCCCACGGGTACCTGGTGGGGTGCCCCCAGAGCCTCGGGTGGCACCCCTGCCCAGCTCACCTGCCCGTCCTGGTCCCTGAGCGCCAGCAGCACTGGCCCGCTGCAGCCCTCCATCCGCCGGTACAGGCTCTGCAGGCTGAAACCATCCCTCGACGTGCAGAAGACCAGACTCCAGGGATGGCCGGTGACTCTTGGTGGGAAGTGAAAGCTGAGCTGGGGACAGGGCTGGAGGTGAATGGAGGAGTTCTTGCTCCCTCCTGCCATATCCTGGGGATGGGCTTGGACAGCCACCATGCATCCAGCCCAGTGCTTTATAGGCAATAGAGCAGTTTGCTGTTTCTAGGGACTTTCATGCCATTAGCAATAGCCCTCGGAGATAAGGGTTGTTATTCCCATGTTACAGATGAGGAAACTGAGGCTCAGGGAGGTGGAACAACTAGCCCAAATCTCACATGGGTAGTGAATGGCAGAGCCAGGATTTGAACCCGGGTCAGGACTCTCGGGACTGTTTCTGCTCGGTCACCCCAGCCCCCAGAGGCCAGAGAATAGGAAAGATGCTGAACCCCTCCTCCTGATCCATCGTCTCATCTGCTCCCCCCTCTCCAACTTTGGCCTCAGTTCCCAAGGGCTGGTTCTATGGAGGAATTAGTCTCTTTCCGTTTTTTCCTTTGAGACAGAGTCTCACTCTGTCGCCCAGGCCGGAGTAGAGCGACACAATCTCAGCTCACTGCAACCTTCGCCTCCTGGGTCCAAGTAAATCTCGTGCCTCAGCCTTCCGAGTAGCTGAAACTACAGGTGCACGCCACCACGCCAGGCTAATTTTTGTATTTTTAGTAGAGACAGGATTTTGCCATGTTGGCCAGGCTGGTCTCCAACTCCTGGCCTCAAGCAATCCCCCTGCCTTGGCCTTCCAAAGTGCTGAGATTACAGGCATGAGCCACCGCGCCTGTCCTAGCCTCTTTCTTTACCTCCTTAACCTCCTGGCCCAGTGTAGAGGGAGGTGCTAGCAACACTGGATGATTTTACAAGAAAGGAAGCAAAGCCCCGAGAGAAGAAGCTATTTGCCAGAAGTAATGCATGATGAGAACAGAGCAAGGATGACTCTAGGTGCCCCTGGGTGTGGCTGGTATAGGGCAGGAGGGTGAGACTCAGGTTTAGGGCTGAAATTCTTGTGCCATGGGCAATGTCCGGACCTGCCTAATATCTGAGGCACTCAAAACTTGGCTGGCTTCTGTCAGCTGGGGCACCATGGGATCCTCAGGAGCAGCAGCTGGGTCTGGAGCTGCCTCCTCCTCCTCTTCCTCCTCGTTACCCTCCTCCCCAGACAGGGTGTCCTCCACCTGGGTGGGCTGCGAAAACACAAAGAGGCCTGGTGGGTCCAGGGACAGGAGGTCCCAGCTTCTACCATCTCCTGAGCCCAGGAGCCTCCTCGGGCCCCCTCATCACTCCCTGCCCATGTGCCTGTAACCCCCAGCCCAGCCCAGAGTATTTGGGGGTTTCCACGACCGACAGGATGCTGCCCCTGCTGCCAGCCTGCTTCCTCCCTGGTCCCTGCCGGCTCAGGGCTGGAGCACAGTCCCCCCGACCCCCGCCAGCACCCCACAAGGCTCAGATGGGGCCATGGGCCCTGCAGTTTGTCAGCCTGTTTGCCCTGGATCCTGGGTGGGTGTCAGGGATCAAGTTCTAAGCTTGGGAGCAGAGGAGAAGGCAGATGGTGGCCCAGCCCTGGAAGCTTCAATTGTGTGTGTTTGTACATTAAATAATGAAAACAACAAAAAAACCCATCCTTGTCCAGGCCTGTGTTCAGTGTGCACTGTCTGTGATCTCTGTGTATTTCTTCTTCTTCATCCTTTTTTTTTTTTTTTTTTTTGAGACAGGATCTTGCTCTGTCACCCAGGCTGGAGTTCAGTGGTGCAATCTTGGCTCACTGTGACCTCCAGCTCCCAGGTTCAAGCAATTTTCTTGTCTCAGCCTCCCAAGTAGCCGGGACTACAGATGCCCACCAGCATGCCTGTTTCCTCATGTTGGCCAGGCTGGTCTCGAACTCCTGACCTCAGGTGATCCGCCTGGCTCGGCCTCCCAAAGTGCTGGGATTACAGGCATGAGCCACCACCCCCGGCTTATTTATCAGCATTTTCCAAAGGAAGAAAATGAAGCCCAAAGGTTTCCCCATGAAGCCCGTGAAATGATGCACGCAGTCATATGTGAGATCATATATGTAAGTTCATGTAAAATGTGTTTGTCTATGTGAATTGTGTGTTGGCTTGGAATAGAGTTGTGTAGGCACATCAATGTGAGGAGGTACTGAGTGTAAATTTGTGTATTTATATATCAATGTGTTTGTGTGAGTTGGGATGGTGTAAATATGTACACATCCATCAGGGGCATCATTATTCACTCATTCATTCAGTTGAGCTTCCACTCTGTACCAGAGTGTGTGTGAGTGTGTGCGTGTTTAGTGTGTGTGTTTGAATGTGTGTGTCTGTATGTGTGTTTGAGTGTGTGAGTGCATTTGAGTGTGTGTGTGTGTATTTGAGTGCATGTGTGTGTCTGAGTGCATTTGAGTGTGTTTGAGTGTCTGTGTTTGCATGTGTATGTGTGTGACTGTGTATATGTGTGTGTGCGCGTGCCTCCACACAATGACCTTACAGGCTTTTCCCAGGAAGAAGAGACCTCTCAGGGGCTGAGAGATGGACAGGACCCCCTCTCCTGCCCCGCTCTGTTCTCCAGGTTCAGGCCTGAGGCAGGGTCTAGCTGTGTGTGGCTCTGAACAGAGCTCCATCCAGCACCCACTCCAGGGAGGAAGGGACAGAGACATCGGTCTGTCCTCCTTGAGGACCTTGGAGCAGGGGGGTTAAGACCCCACGTTCCTGAGTCAGTCCTTGCTCCAAACCACAGGCCTGCCAGGGAGGGACTGGAGAGGGGAACAAGTCACCACCCGCATCCAACCCTAGCCCAGGCCCCAGCCTGCCAGAGACCTCGCCTCCTTCCACCTCCTAACCTGCACCACAGCCGGAGCTGGAACCCTTACCAGCCGAGTGTAACGCCAGCGGAGGCCTCTCATTCTCCTGTCCCTGCCCGGCCGGCCGTGGGCAGTGAGTGAATCCTCAGCCCTGCCCAGGAAGGAAGCGCTGATAGGTGAGGCCTAGACATGAGAGGGAGAGGCCTGAGACACACCCAGCCAGCTCCATGCCCACCCCAGCTGCCCTTTGCTCCCTCTCACCTGTCACTCCCAGGCCGAGCTGCTGCTGGGTGGGTCTGTGAGCAACTCGGCATTCAAGGCCTCATTGCAGTTAGCATCTAACATGTATATACACCATAAATTCTAGTTGCAATTCCTTTCCACCTCCTTGCCCTTGTGGCAGCCTGGCCTGGGGACTGTGGGCTATTGGCCAGATGGCTAAGGCCCAGGCTGGAGGTCTGGGGCCTCTAGTTCCCCGTATGACCTTGCATAAGCCCATTTGAACTCCTGAGCCTCAGTTTTACCACACGTAACATGTTGAACCAGATAACCTCAGAAGCCTTTGCAGGACTGACAGGCTGCCATTCACTTCCCTCTCCACGACGATGAGTGTGTTAGAACGGAAGCTAGAAGGGGGCATGCCTAGACCAAAAGAACAATCTGGCTGTGTGCGGTGGCTCATGCCGGGAGGCTGAGGGAGGTGGATCACTTGAGTCCAGGAATTTGAGACCAGCCTGGGCAACATGGTGAAACCCTGTCTCTACAAAAAAAACAGAACAAAAGTTAACTGGCCGTGGTGTCGTGTGCCTTAATCCCAGCTCCTCGGAAGACTGTGGTGGGAGGATCACCTGAGCCTGAGGGGAGGACGCTGCAGGGAGCCGAGATTGCGCCACTGCACTCCAGCCTGGGCAACAGAGTGAGGCCCTGTCTCAAAAAAAAAAAAAAAGCTATTTTTACTTTGCATCCTAAACATAGATGTATTTTAGGCTTTCATCATTGCTTTGCTTGTCATTTAACAGAAAGTTTCTTTACTAAGTCTTTGTTTCTTTTTCCATATTTAGTTTCAGATGGGGGTGGGGAGAACAGATGCAATTCTAAATTGAAACATAAATAAACTTTTGTTAATGTTCAATTAAAAAAAAAGAAAAGAATAGATTATTTTAAAAGATTTTTTAAATTATTTATTTATTTATTTATTTATTTATTTATTTATTTTTGAGATGGAGTTTCACTCTTGTTGCCCAGGCTGGAGTGCAGTGGTGCCATCTGGGCTCACCGCAACCTCCGCCTCCCAGGTTCAAGCAATTCTTTTACCTCAGCCTCCACCCAGCTAATTTTATATTTTTAATAGAGATGGGGTTTCTCCATGTTGGTCAGGCTGGTCTCGAACTCCTGACATCAGGTGATCCGCCCGCCTCACCCTCCCAAAGTGCTGGGATTACAGGCATGAGCCACCTTGCCCGGCCAAAGGTTTTTTTTTTTTTCTAATTAAAAAGTGATATTTAGATATTGTAGAAAATTTGAGAAACCAGAAAAGAATAAGAATATAAAAATGTTCACAATTCTATCTGTTACAAATAAACTCTTAACCCCCAAGGGTGTATGTTCCAGTCTTTTATATTTATTTCACATAGACACATGTATACACATTTGCAAAGGGATCACACCATGTGTTCATACCGTTTTGACCACACAGTTTTTTTTGTTTGTTTTTGTTTTTGTTTTTGAGACAGAATCTTGCTCTGTTGCTCAGGCTGGAGTGCAGTGACATGATCTCAGCTCACTGCAACCTCTGCCTCCTGGGTTCAAGAGAGTCTCCTCTCTCAGCCTCCCAAATAGCTGGGATTAGAGGCATGCGCCAACACACCCAGCTAATTTTTGTATTTTTAGTAGAGACGAGGTTTCTCCATATTGGTCAGGCTGGTCTCAAACTCCTGACCTCAGATGATCTGCCCTCCTCAGCCTCCCAAAGTGCTGGGATTGCAGGCATGAGCCACTGCGCCCGTCCAACCACACAGTTTTATAAAGTACTTTTTCTACTAACAACAATCAAGAATTCTCCGAGGTACCCTATGCTCTTGGAATGCATGATTTCTTGAGTGGCTGCATAGTATTTAATCACGGGACATTCATCATTTGTTCCCCCCTGCTGTTGGACATTTTGTTTACTTCTAATTTTCTCTAATTATTAGCAAAACTGCAATGAACGTTGTTCATAAAACTGATTGCACCCTTTATGATAAATTTCAAAAGTTGAATGCTGGATCAAAGGCCATGCACATAGTTCTTGATAAGTGTTTCCAACAAAGTTACCCAGGTGCTTAAAGTTGACCCATGTCCGAGTACTTTTAGGGAAGCTCAAGGTAGTATCTTTCTGGTCATCAAACCTTAAAACCCTCGGACTAGAGATAAGGAAACTGCCATTCAGAAAAGGGAAGGAACTCATCAGTCACTTGACACTGTAGTACGGCAGTTAAGAGGACGAGCTCTGGAGTCAGGGAGTTCAAATCCTGGTTTTGTCACTTACTTTGCTGTGTGGCCTTGGGAAAATTACTTTACATCTCTGTGCTTCAGTCACCTCACCTGTAAATATTAATATATACACCTACATCAGGGCTGGTTGTAAGAGTAAATGAAGTTAAATCCTAGAGAGCTAGGGTGCTAAGCCAGGCATCCAACCTACTGACTTGGTGAGATAACAGTACCTTATGTTGTTTGTGGGTGCTGGGTGAGTGGCAATACTTATTACAATCTCCCTACACTGACTCTTCGAGAGTCTAGGGTTCGAATCCCTGACAAGTGGCCCCTCAGCCTCCACCTGGGTGCCTCTGGGACAGACAGTCACTTTGTCAGTTGCAGGGTGAGGAACTCAGAGGGAGAAGGGAAATAGGGGAGCCGTGCAAGGATGTACTCACCCTTCCTTTAGCGTATCTCCCTGATCCCCAGAGAGGGGGCCACACATGGCACTGACCCTGCCCACCTGGTGGTCTGTATGCGGTAGGTTTAGCTCCGATCCCTGGTCCCCGGGTAGGTGACTGGCCCTCTGCCCCGGCTCTGGCTCCAGGCTCTCCTCCCTAGCTCTTATACCTGCCCAGAGGGCAGCAAGCCCTGGCCCTGTGCCCACTCTGGTTCCAACTGGGAAGGCCTGGCAGTGATTATGACACATCAGAAACTCAAATCCCACAAGCACACACAAACAAGACCTTGCCATCCCCCGGCCCCCAGCCCTGCCCCCAACAGCCCGAAGGGGTGGGGATACCAGGCATCTTGGCTCTCCTGAAGCCTCTCACCACAGCTGCCAGATGCCAGGTCCTGGAGCTTGATGCCCACCACTGAAGACCATTCTCTTGAGATTAAAATCTGCGATATGACTGGACACGGTGGCTCATACCTGTAATCCTAGGATTTGGGGAGTCTCAGGTGGGAGGATCGCTTAAGCCCAGGGGTTTGAGAACAGCCTGGACAACATGGCGCAACGCAACTCCATCTCTACAAAAAAATTTTTTAAAAAATTAGCCGGGTGTGGTGGCACATGCCTGTAGTCCCAGCTACTTGGGAGGCTGAGATGGGAGGATCACTTGAGCCTGGGAAAGTCGAGGCTGCAATGAGCTGAAATCACATCACTGCACTCCAGCCTGAGCAACAGAGTGAGATCCTGTCTCAAAAATAAAAGAAAATAAAATCTGTGGTCTACAAACACTACAGGAAAGGGTGAGGTTGTGGGGTTCTCCGTCAGTCACCCTGTGCTCCAGGCCTGGCAGGCTCAGCCCCTGCTAGTTCCCTCTCAGATGAGATGAGGACGTTTCTCACTGGACCGTGGTGACATTAGGTAAGGTTACACACAGGAAGCCATGTTGAGCATGCAGTAGACGCTCCATTGAAGAGGGGGCTACTTCTCCGTCCCCAGCTCACAGTAAGATCTCCATGACTGCTCTGCTGTTGACTCACAGAACTTCAAAGCTCAAAGAGGCTTCAGTAGCCTGCCCCTGGGGTGGGAATCCCTGGGGAATGCACCCAGGTCACAGGCCTGTTAGGTGGGTGAGCCCACCATTTCACAGATGACTTGTGCCATCTTCCCACAGCTGGAAGAGACCCTGTTCTGCTGGACTTGGTGGAGAGGACCTGGGTCCCCAGATGCCCTGCTCATGGCCGGGTGTCCTGGGGCAATGTTCCCTCCGGGAAGTGTGGGATGCCAAAAGGACACGTATTATGGGGAAAACAAGTAAGTGAAGGACCCTGTTGCCACCTCAAACATGGCTGTTGCAATGTGTGTTTAAGCTATAAACGGCTTGGGGATCACATGCCTAGCACTTCTAGCCACCCCTCCTCCAAGCTCAACACCTGAACCTCTGAGGGCTTTGAGAAGCCAGTGGGGTTTGCCTTGCTGTCCCATTATTTGTCCTCATGGTCAGGAAAACTCAGCGTGTGATCTGGCAACAACATCGACTGCCACATAACCAGACGCTAGAAAGCTTCCATGATGGAGGCTGGGCACAGTGGCTCATGCCTGTAATCCCAGCACATTGGGAGGCCAACATGGGCAGATCACCTGAGGTCAGGAGTTCAAGACCAGCCTGGCCAACATGGCGAAACCCCATTTCTACTAAAAATCCAAAAAAATTTTAACTGAGTGTGGTGGCGCATGCCTGTAGTCCCAGCTCCTTGGGAGGTTGAGGCAGGAGAATCGCCTGAACCCAGGAGGCGGGGGTTGCAGTGAGCCAACATTACGCCACTGCACTCCATCCTGAGCGACAGAGTGAGACTCTTCGACTCAAAAAAAAAAAAGGCTGGGCGCAGTGGCTCACACCTATAATCCTAATATTTTGGGAGGCCGAGGCAGGTGGATTGCTTGAGGTCAGGAGTACAAGACCATCCTGGCCAATGTGGCAAAATCCCGTCTCTACTAAAAATACAAAAAAAAACTTAGATGGTTGTGGTGGCACACACCTGTAGTCCCATGTACTTGGGAGGCTGAGGCAGGATCCCTGCTTGAACCCAGGAGGCAAAGGTTGCAGGGAGCTGAGATCACACCACTGCACTCCAGCCTGGGCGACAGAGCAAGACTCTGTCTCAAAACAAAAACAAAAACAACAACAACAACAACAATAAAAACTTCTATGATGGAATTCCAGATACGAGAGGGCCTGACAGATGTCTAGACTCTGCCTTGAAGTTTACCTTCTTTTTATATGTTTATATCTTTATTTTATTTATTTATTTATTTATTTATTTATCTTACTTTATTTTTGAGACGGGTTCTTGCTCTGTTACTCAGCCTGGAGTGCAGTAACATGATTGCAGCTCAGTGCAGCCAGTCTCCTGGGCTCACACAATCTTCCTCCCTCAGCCTCCTGAGTAGCTAGGACTACAGGCATGCGCCATCATGCCCTGCTAATTTCGTTTATTTATTTATTTATTTTTGTGGAGACAGGGTCTCACTATGTTGCCAAGGCTGGTCTTGAACTCCTGGTCTCAAGTGAGCCTCCCACCTCAGCCTCCAGTGTTGACATTACAGGTGTGAGCCACTGCACTCAGCCTATTTTAAATTTTCTTTCTTTCTTTCTTTCTTTCTTTCTTTCT